CCGGTCCCCGCTCCCAGCCCAGTCCCACCCAGCTGCTCCCAACTGGACGACTGTCGGGAGCCACACGCATTCCTCCGGGGGCACACAGGGTTAAAAATACCCTCGGCCAGGCTGGGGCACAGCAAGCGGCAGTGTCCCGCTCCCTGCCCCATCCCCTCATCAGTACATGGATGTGGTCCTGCTCTCTGATCCACAGATGGGGCATTGGTTTCCCTCTGCCCATCCTCTACCCATCCTCAGAGCTGCTGGTTCCAGAGATGGAAGCACAGATCATCAGACATGGGTCTTACAAAGGATCACAAAATGCCACTTTGTGCAATCAGGGACCACGCTTGTCCCCAGCTCTGCAAACCTGAATGGGACAAACTGGGAAGAAACCACCTGCCTCAGTCCTCCTGCAAAATGACCCCCATGAAACCTTCCATGGTGCTGGGCCGCTCCCATCCCACATCTCTTCCTGCTCCTGATGCCTTGTGCAATGACAACCTCTCCTGAGGGAGGTGATGCCCTTGTAATCCCCAAGGTACAGCCCCCATTCCTGAAAAGCAGCACCCAGGAAACACCCAGGGCACTGTGCACAAGGGACATTGTTATTAACAACAGCACTTCTGATAGTGCTGTCGAGTCAGCTCCTGCCTGACAGAGGCATAAATAGAGCACCCAAGAGCTTGGGCTCCTGACGAGCACCCGACAGCTAATTGCTGCTTTTACTTAGGGTGAAGAGGGGAGGACCCGGAGCAGGGACAGACAGAGCAGCATCTGAACGGCAGCTGAGTAATCGCTGTGCAGGGCTTTACTCACTCACTGCATCACCCCTCCTGGGACTGCTTCCCTGCGTTTTGCATTTATTTAAGCAAAAAGGGTGCTGGAGGCACAAGGGCTCTGTCCGACCTGACCTGCTCTAAAATAGAATGGGATTGCAGCTTCAGTTCCTGCTGCCTGGGGATTCTCCCTCCCCCAGCATCATCCAGCATAAACCATCGGTTGGCGTGCAGAAGTGGTGCCCAAGTTCACTGCATTGAGCAACAGCTTCAGTAACCTCCCCAGAAACCCATGGCAGGAGCCACAGATCCCATCTCGCTCCCCACAGCAGCCATGGGATGCAGCAGCCCCTCGCTCCGGCTGGGGCCAGGGTGGGGTTTAATTAACCCTGGGAGTGAGGTTGGGATAAGCAGCACAGCCTGTGCCAGACGTGGCACGTCCCAGCTCGCCAGCATTCCTGTGCCGTGCCCCACTGCTGCCAGCACACGTGGTGTGGTGGCCCCCAGTGCGGCATCAGGAGGGGGCTGGTGAGTTGATGGGCATCCAGCCACGCACAGAGGTGTCACTATGAGGCCTCCCCTTCAGCCAAGTGTACCTGCACCCATTTGGATGTGATGGTGACCATTGGGTTATGCCATAGAATCATGGGATGGTTTGGGCTGGAAGGGACCTTAAAGCTCCTCCAGCTCCAACCCCTGCCACAGGCAGGGACCCCTTCCACTGGAGCAGCTTGCTCCAAGCCCCTGTGTCCAACCTGGCCTTGAGCACTGCCAGGGATGGGGCAGCCACAGCTTCTCTGGGCACCCTGTGCCAGCGCCTCAGCACCCTCACAGGGAAGAGCTTCTGCCTAAGAGCTCAGCTCAGTCTCCCCTCGGGCAGGTTCAAGCCATTCCCCTTGGCCTGTCCCTACAGGCCCTTGTCCAAGCCCCTCTCTCAGCACAAGCTTGATCCAAAGGACAGCATTAGTTTCTCAATCTTTGGGATGAAGGGGTGTAACCTGGTGAGTACACGACGGAGAAAACCCCTACGTGCCTCTGTGTGAACCTCTGTCCCCCATCTGTGCCTAAGGAGTCGCTTCCCTGAGGAATTCTGCTGTTTGCTAAATGGAATCAACGCAAGATGTTTGATTCGGTACCATTTCAACTGCAGCTCATTTGATTCCAGCCATTAACATTTAATATTAGCTTTGAGAAACCTGAGCCGACAGCAGAGAGGACTGAGGGGGAAGAACTGCCCCAGCCTGGAAGCTCCTACCAGGTGCCTGTCACTGATGCTGAAGAGCCCAACTCGGATGCGTGATGCTCATGGAGACACAGCGCAGATTCTTCCTTTTATACAAAAAGATGCTCCTCAAAGAGGCAGTGCCTTGGGTTAAACTCCGGATGCAGAGCAGGAGTTAAAGATGAGGTTTCCTTTCCTCTGCCAGCTTAACACAAGCTGAACCCGTGCTCTTTCTTCTGCAGTGTAGCTCTATCTGAAGCAATCCATCAGGATATCCATATAAGCACAGACTCCAAACCACAGAAATGCCTTTCAGCTGCACTTGATCTCACCATAAAACTAGAAGCTAAGCAGGAGACCCCTTCAAGTCCCTTCCAGACAGGTTTCTTACAATCCTCCAATAGCGTGGTGCTCCAAACCGGTCCCTACCTAGGCCAGTCTGTGTCCCCCCCATCACCATCCTGGCTTCTGATGGCTGCGGGAGCCGGTATGGGCTCAGCCCCTCGGTGCAGCCATCCCCATCTCCGCATCCGCTCGCTGAGCCGAAACACCTCCTGCAAACAAAGCTTCCCCCATCCCAGCAAGATCCCACAGCTGCTTCCCAGAAACCCGGCCAGGAAGAGCATTTACAGCAGGAGAGGGCTCATCCCTGCCATAGCCAGGATTAGTGCCTCTGTGGCCTGGGAATGGGGCTGGACGGGAGAGAGGAAATGCACGGGTGGCAGTTCTCCAAAAGCTAAGGGTCTGTTGGAGGTTGTGGCCTTTTGGGGCAAGTTTGAGGGGTGTTTGCAGGACAAATCTATGGGGAGTTTCGAGTATAAACTGCTCCAGGTGTCATCTGTTCACAGCCTCCATCAGAGCTTCAATAGATCTTCCTTATTAAAATCTGGACACAATGAGCCCAGAAGTGCCCACCTTTGTCAGGGCTGCATTGGCAACTTGCCGGGAGGCCTGGGGCCATGCCTGATTTGCATCTCATTTACACAGATGTTCATTAAAATTAATGCCTTAAGACATAATATCTGCCTCCATTTGAGCCTTCAGGACAGACCGACCGCAACGGCGCCTGGAGAGCCCCGGCCACCCTATCCTGCTCCCCATGCTCAGCTGCATCGTCCCCACACTGCTGTGGGAGCACTTCCCGACCCAGGAGCTGCCTCTGCTCCCCCCGGACACGCTCTCCTGCATCTTGGTTGGGATCCAAGACAGGACACAGTTGTGATATTGTCTTAGGAGCTGAGAAATAAAAGCCCCCTGAGGTCCCCGCTTCCCCCAGCACCCAAGCCAAGCTTCTCCAGCACTCTCCCTCCTGCACGTCTGGAGCACAGCTGGTCCCTTCCCCGTGCAGATGAGTATCTGGGGTTGCATTTCCCCTTGGAGAGAACCGGTAAGGTGAGGCTTTGCAAAGATGCGCTCTGCAGCACCTCGGGATCTGTGCAGCAATGCCTGCTCTGGGGATGAACCGTGCAGGGGAGGGATGATGCTGCACAACCACCATTGCTCCATCCCCCTTCTTGCTTCTCCCCCCTTTTTATTCTCAGCCATTGCACAGTAGAACCCCACCATCGCTGCTGCAGCTGATGGGTTTCCACCAACACAGACCTCAGCTACACCATGGGGACAATGAATGACTCCTGCTAAAGACACATCACCTCCCAGAGCACCCCTGGTTCATGCAGCCCAGGCCACCATCGTCTTAAAGGGTCACAGAGCTTGAGACACGTCAAGGTCACTGAGATACAGACCATTTACAAGCACTACGATGGGTTAAGCTGTGCCTGCCAACCCCAACCAAGCAATCTGAACCAATGCTAGGTTTTCTCATTGTTTTTAATAAGAGCTGCTCAAGGGAATAATCCCTTGTTCTGTAGGAAAGTTTCACTGGTTTTAAGGAAAATAAACCACTCTTGGGATATATTTTGGGATATACTCCAAGAGACTCCTCTGTGGTGTTTACTGATGAAGTTAAATCCTCCCAACCAATACAATCTCAATGCAAAACACTGCCCAACACAAGAGTTAACAGCAAAACCACCAGAGGAGCTTCAGTTTGCCCCATAAGTAACACTTCCAAACGATTTTTCGGAGAGACAACCCCCAAAACAGGAATACTTTGTCCAGGTGAAGGTTTCACAGAGCTATTAAGAGGTGGAACAGGATCAGTTAGCCATGAAATGAGGAGTAAATGGCTGTAAAACCACCCCCTCTTCCCACCCCTTCCATTAACACCAGGAACACAGCAGCCAGATGTACATCAGCCCAATCAGCAGCTACCAAGCACACCAGTAATGGAAATGTCACAGCAAGAGAGCTTCTGAGCAGTATTAATATAATCAACATAGTGTAACAGCAGGACCCAACACCGTAATACTGTGTGAAAGAACAGCAAACACACCAACTCTTCCCTCTCAGCATTTCAGGCAAGCCTTGATGGTCTCCATCAGCTCTTTGCTGGGCACATGAACTGTCCACACCAAAACCTGGCTTTGGTTTTATTTCCTGGGTGTACCCCCTTGTCCCACAGTTTATCTATGGCTTTACTTGTACCCAAGGACCCCAAAACGGATGCAATACGTGGCCTAGATGAGGTGAACAAGCAGCAGGAAAGGTGGGCCAGCTAGAAAGACCTGCAGGATGATCTGGAGTACTCAAATGACACCAACTTACAGTTAAGATAGACTCAAAACCAACCCTCCCTCCCCCAAAACCTAAATGCCAACCACCTCTCCAAGCCCACGAGGTACTGGCACACCAACATTACACATGTCAAAGAGAACAGGGAAAAGGTTTTTTCCTCCCAAGAGCAAATCCATTCTGCACCTTTTAACCACAATCCACTCTAGCAGCTCATCTTCCATCCTCCAGAGCAAGGCTATTTTCCTACACCAAAACTGCTGACAGGACAGCAACGAACAGCAAAGCTGTGACAGCTCTAAGACCAGAGGTCCTCCACCACAACACTAGAGACCTTCCAACACCAAACACCACTGAAGAAACACCATGGCATAAAGACTTACCTTGAAGTCTGCCAGCTGCTGGTTGATGGTTTCCACCTCTGTTCCCACCACCCACTGCAACGCCTCGTTGTCCTCTGCTGCGGTTGTCATGTGGGTCAGCTCCTTCAGCCTGCTGTAGAAGTCCTCGACACGAGACAGCGTCGTTTCTACCTGCTCCTGGCGGTTCTTGCCTCTCTCTGTCAGTTTGCTGCACTGTTTATTCAGTGTCTCCAGCTCACGTTTCAGTCCTAATAAATCTGGGCTCCCTTCGTCCTCCAGCATCTTCTTACATTCGCTTTCAGAAGCTTCAATGTCACACTTCAGCCCATGGAGCTTGCCCAGGAACGTGCGAACGTCCTCTGCTTGGGACTGGAGGCTGTCAGAGTCTCTCCCGATGGGGCCCATGCTATCCAGCTCATCATCAAGATCCGCCAGCTGGGAGAACATCTCCCTGACCCGGTTACTGAACTGACCGATCCCTTCAAGCTTGTTCTCCATAAGTGCACAGCAGTCATTGACTTTCTGCTTCACAGCTTGGAAGTCCTGCTGAGCCACCTCAGCTTGGCTTAGGAGCTGGGAACAGTCAGACCCATCTGGGGCATCTTCTACCAGACCTTGAGTGAGGTTTCTCAGATAATCCACTTGTGGCTCCAGGGCCTGCAGCACCTCCTGCTGTGCCCTGAGCTTCTCCAAATTCTTGTTGCTGCAGGCCTGTGGCCCCAGTGCATCGTAGATCTCCAGCTGGTGCTTCGCCCCTTCCAGCTTCTTCTCAATGTTCTTGAAGCTCTCTTGAAACTCCTTGAGCCTCTGTGACATTTCTTCAATGGAGCCAGTCTTGGCTTGCAGCTCTTCTGTGATGGCATCCATCTTGTGATTGATGCCAGCCTTCTCATCCCGAATGTCATCCTCATCGGTTTGAGAAGCATCAATGAGGATGTCGGCAGCGCTGTTGAGCATCTCCAGCAAGGAGCGCCGCTTCTCCACGTCGCTCAGCATAGCCTTTGATCTCAGAAGGGTTGCCTCCAGCTGCACTGGATCCAGAGTTACTTCCAGCTCCATCACCTTTGCCTTGCAGTCCTCCACCCAAGGCAGGAGGTCCTCTGCGTGCCGTTGGTACTTCTGAGCTTTCTGCAAACAGTCCTTGAGCTTAGAGTGCCTGTGGGCAGCCTGCTTGCTGAGCTCTTCCCAGTGCGTTTTGAGGCTGACCAACTGGTTTTGCAGAGTGGTCTTCTCCTCCCCAGGTTGGACAGAAAGCAGCAAAGATTCTCCCTCGGCTACAATCATCTCATAGGAACCACTGTGTTGGTTGAGGTTCTTCTGGAACTCTTCTTGCTCCTGAATTTGGCTCTGTAGCCTCTCCAGTTTAGCAGAAATGGGTTGGCTCTGAGCTTGCTGGCACAGTTTGTCATCGAGCCAGGTCCTGAGTTCATCAAACATATGCTGGAACTGCTGGGAACTGGCAAAGGCAGTCTGCAGTCGGTTCATCCGGTCGGCTGAAACGGGAATGACATTAGAACGCGACAATTAAGCTGAAATCAAATAAGCAAAGTGCAATTACTTAAAATCAGCTCAGATGCACCAACTGTGTTTTGATTAACAGGAAGGAGCTTTCCATTGCATCACTGGCCTTTTTGCTCACTGATTCATAAATTTCCTTAATAGTAAGAGGCAACGATAACACAGGAGCCTCAAGTTCCCCTGGCCAGTCCCTAAATGCAACCTCTTAGAAACCAGAAGAGGCATCCCAAGCTCAGAGGGTGGCCACTGGTTCTTCTCCATGCCCCATTCTGAATTTAGGAACTGGTTTTTTCCACCCCAAGGACAGCACATGGCACACTGCTGCGATGTGCTTGAAGAGCCACATCAGTGGGACTAAACTCGCTCCCCAGGCTCAGGTATGTCTGCAGTGTGAACTCTCCTGTGCTTAGATCCACATAAAACACCCAGGAAACACCCTAAAAGCCAATGAATCTGTTTGCTTTTAGAAAGCCAGCAACAGGAGAGCCCTTAGGCAAAAAGCAGGGGTGGAGTCTGACATCCCCACATATCTTAACAACGTCTCAGCTCCATCTCACCTGCCAGGTCTTCCAGCCCTTTGAGAGGCAGCGCCACTGTCTCCAGACGTTTCCGTAGCTCATCTTTGAGATACTGCTCCCCGATGAGGACAGAGAGGTCATCACAGAGGGTCTGAGCCTCCGTGATCTCCTCTTCCAGCTGCTCCAGGTCCGAGCGGATCTCACTGGTTTCCTCCAGCTGCTGTTTCACGGCATCGGGCTGGGTGCTGATGGCAGACTGGCTGCTCAGGCGCTGCCCAACTGCCTTCACCTTCTCCGACAGGCCCTGGAGGAGCTCCTGGTACTGGGTGCTCTTCACTATGGCTTGGTCAATTTGGCTGGAGCGGGAGTTGAGGCGTTCCGTTAGCTCAGACCATTTCTGATTAACCCCTTGGAGCTCTTCCCGCACCTGGTTAGCGGATGGAGAAACATCTCCAGGGCCAGTCAAGATGCTCTGAGCTGCCTGGTTGAGCTGCTCATGCTGTTGTCTGCGGGCTTCAAATTCCTTCAGCATAAACTGGAATAGAAATAACATACAAATGTTTGCACAAACCTGACAGTTCTGTGTACACACAGACAAAACAAAGCAGACCTCCAGGGGCTTTATCCACCCCATGGAACAAGCCCTGGGCTGGGTAGGCCAGATTTCCTGTGACCTTCCAACTTAAAAAGCTGGGAGGGTCCATGACTTCTGTACTTTGTTCGCTCTTATTTGTTCTGCTGCTGTGTAATGTTAACACAAACCAGCCAGATGAGAAGGAAATCAGATGATGTCAACCGGGGCATTTCGTTTTCTGATGCAGCCAGTTACATGTTAGGATTGGGAAGCAAGAGGCTGGGAAAGGGCAGGCTTGCCAGGTGAAGGGGCAGCATTAGCGAGTCCTGCTGAGCATCAGCACAGGTCTTGTTTAAAGCAATTTCATTCTCCAAGAGGGGGCCAAGTGATTCACTGATGAGTCAATGCAGTGCGGGGAAGGGAGCTTGAGCACGGCTCCCTTTCGAGTTACTCATGACAGGGTTTGGAGGAGCCCTGAGGTCTCCGAGCACTCACTGAGACATCTCCAAGTGCAATCTTCCACCTCATGTACGGGATGAGACACCCTCGCCTCTTGACCTGAACACACAGCGGAGCTCCCAGCTCACCTGGACCTGCTGCTTCTGCGCGTTCAGCATGTTCGGGTCGATGGAGAGGGGTCCCAGCACGCTCATCATCAGCTCCTTCTCCAGCAGCCAAGGCCGCAGCTGGGCTTCAGCAGCCTGGAAGCTGGCCAGCTGGTTCACCGACTCCTCCAGCTTCTGCTGCCGTGCTGCCGTCGCCTGGCTGGCTCTTTCCCACCTGCAATCTGAAGCACGGGCTCTGTTGGTGCTGATCGTGCCCACCCCTCCATCAGGAAGGGGTTTTAACCTCCCCATGGCTTCCACAACAGGAAACCTCCTCAGCTTGTCAGTAAAGCTAAATGGCTCCACTCATTCTCCATCTAAGAAGCTGTTTCTAATGGCTACATAGTCATAGCTCATAGGAAAGGAGGATTTCTGCACTTGGGTCACTACTGCCATGAGCTGGTCTGGCCTTGGGTGCCACCAAGCACCCCTGGCTCAGTGCATGAGGATATCAGGCCTCACACAGCACATTCAGATCTCCTGGACAGAGAAATCCATAAACAGGTTCCTGCTATTTCAAAGAAGAGAATCTATGGGGTCCTTTTTAAATAGTCTTGTTTGGTCAACATTTAACTACCCAGGACAGCCTTAGTAATGCCTGGAATTTTATATCAAGCCATGAAGCATTTAATCAAAATAATCAACTCGTGTTGCTAATGGTTTTTTTTCCCCTCCCTTTCTTTAAGCAGTAATTTAAAGAGGCAAGGCTTTAAAATCCACATCCATCATAGAGATCTCATTAATCAGGACAGGGCTCGTCTCAGGAGCACCTTGTACACCAGACAGCTTGGAGAGAAGTTTGCTATTTACTGCATTTTAATTGGAAGTGACTCTGCTCTGCTGTGACTTTGGAAGCCCCTCCAATCCCAACCCCCTTATACGTGATGCTTCAAGACAGGAGCCTCACCAAGTGCTCCAGGCACTTACTCAGGTCTTCCTGCATCTTCTTCCAGTTCACTGCTTCTGGAGAATCTGGGTATTTCTCCAGCAAGCCACAAAGTGCTTCCTTCACCTTCTGGATCTTCCCTGAATTCTGTTCCAGTTCAGCCAGAAATGCCTGGAAAACAATCATTGGAACTTCTTCAGATGTAGGGCAAAAGACTGAAATCACCGAGTAGGAATGAAGCAGCGGCTACAAGCTGGAGTTGGGCAATTTCTGCTCTTTGCTCTTTAATGAAATCATTTCATTTTATTAGCAATATCATGAGCTAACTTGGCTCCAAGAGCAAGGAAAGGCTGGGAATTGCTTTCCAGGAGAAGCTGGAGTGACCCAGCAACAAGGGCTATAGATAAACTCCTTTCCCCTGAGCCCAGTGCCTGAGAGCAGCAGGTCTAGAAGCAAAGAGGTCGAGCACAGCACGTTGGCTCATGAACCATGACCTGCGTGTGATCCCTTCTGTGGAAAGCCTTGCTTTCAGCTCCTAGTCCTGCTGCAATAAAGCCCATCGCTGAGATCCTTTGGGAGGAAACGCTCTGATCCCCATTTTGTGCTCTGGAAGAGATGTTACCTTGTTGTGCTCAGCTTGGGCTCTCATTGTCTCTGTCTTGGTGGGCGAGGAGGAGGCGTCCAGCTCCGACAACATTCGCTCCTTCGACTCCAGCCACTTCAGCAAGGAGCTGGCCTCCTCCTGCACCTCTTGCATCTTCTCCAGCATAGCCGAGAGCTGCTGCTGGCGCTCCTGCAGCGCCGCGCCGAGGCCCTGGTACTGCTGGCTCACGTCAGACACATCGCACTGGATCTCAGTCAGATCTGTCGCCAAAAAGCAGCCCGAGGTGAGGACACTGCTCACGCTGCCTGCCTTCACCTGGGCTCTCAGCAACTGATCTAGCCCTGGCAGCCACAGCCAGCCAAGCGTGAGGAGGAAGAGGCTGTGCTGCTGTCCATCCTCCTGCAGAGCAGTGTCACATCATCCTCCCCTCTCGTGCCCAAGGGGCCCTTCCAGCCACACCATGGCCACACGCTGACAGTGTGCAAACAAAGCAAATGCCTTCGTGTGGGTGAGATGGTGCAGGCTGAGTCCCCCCCATCAAGGTCACTGCTGGTACAAGGTTAAAGGATTTGACACCGAAATATAAAGCTGTTTTAATGCACCTATTACCTCGCTGAACTGATGCACTAACAGCAGATAACGGGCAATAATTAAAACTGCTCTTCAAACTGAAGGGTTGGAAGCCATTATAATCCCTTAGAACCAATAAATTTAACTGCAGGCCTTAAAACCACCTCCCATTTATCAGCTCTTAACACCACCTATGGGGTGTCAGGGTGCCCTCACTCCCCAAAGCTGCCCCTCGGCATCCTTCAGCCTCACTTACATCCTCCAGCATGGCTGGGAATGCCACCAGCTCGTTTCACTGGGGATGGGATGCTGATGGTGCCACAGTGGGGTTTATACCCTCATGGATGGAAATGCACAGACAAATGGACAAGGACGGTGAGGTGGCCTTGGCACAGCAGGGACAGCGAGCTCACCTTTGCATGTGTGGTATCCGTTCACGCTGCCGAGCGACCCTCCCGGAGCGGGCAGCGCCGCACCTGAGCACAGGGGACGGAGACAGACAGAGGGACAAGACAGACGCGTTAGGAATGCAGACAGCAAGCGATGAATGGCCTTCCAATGACACGGACTACACCGGCCACCAAGCACAGACACAGCATCCCCACCCGCCCGGTGCCACTGAGCCCACAGTTCCCTTTGGAATGGGTTTATTCCTCCTCCTCCCCACACACCTGCATCCCTCGCTGCCCTGGAGCTGCTCCTGACTCACTGGACCAGAAGCAGAATCATAGACTCATAGAATGGTTTGGGTTGGAAAGGACCTTAAGATCATCAAGTTCCAACCCCCTGCCATGGGCAGGGACACCTGGCTCTAAACCGTATCACCCAAGGCCTCGTCCAACCTGGCCTTGAACACTGCCAGGGATGGAGCATTCACAACCTCCCTGGGCAACCCATTCCAGTGCCTCACCACCCTAACAGGAAAGGATTTCCTCCTTATATCCAATATAAACTCCCTCTATTTAAGTTTTAACCCATTACCCCTTGTCCTATCAGTACAGTTCCTAATGAAGAGTCCATCCCCAGCATCCCTATAGCCCCCTTCAGATACTTGGAAGCTGCTCTGAGGTCTCCATGCAGCTTCTCTTCTCCAGGCTGCACAGCCCCAACTTTCTCAGCCGATCTTTATATGGGAGGTGCTCCAGCCCCTGAGCATTCTCGTGGCCCTCCTCTGGAGCTGGGCACCTCTCCCAGCATCACCCATGGTGGATGTGGCTCTTGTCATACTGGGGACCGCTGGGCACCTCCCCAAGCCTGGAAAGCTGCTAGCCTAAGCATGACTTTATAATATCAAGTGAAGTGCTGAGTGCCTTCTCTGAAGAGATTCACTCCCCTGAAGAGCATAACTCCCCCACGTTCTCTTTTCCTGATGGGATGAAACGATTTAAACCCGCCTCAGTGCACAGACTTGCTCTCTTTGCCAAGAGGCTCCACTCCTTGGACACCAGATAGCACAGCTACATTCACAACCAAAGTGGGACTCATCAGAGACATTGTAGGGCAAGCTTCTCTCTTTCTAACCACATATCTTAAAGCTTTCATAGAGGCAAGGGGGCTGCAGCTTTGGTCACGCCTCGTGGGGTGACCACCCCTCTTCTCTTGGAGGTTTCCCACTGAACTGCTCCTCAGGTTAACCCTAATGAACACATCTGGACCGTGCACTCCCATAAATGCCCATCCATGACGAGAGCTCAGGGACTCGTTCTCACAAGCTGGAAGACATCTTTCAGTTGGTTTCCAAACAACCCAGACATAATCTCATTGCTTCGCAGACTTGAAGCCAGCAAGGAGACAAGTGAATTATGTCTGAATATCAGTCTTAAGTTTCATCCAGATATGAAACCCAAAGGCTGGAGTTTGGTTGAAACACTCCAGCCCTCAGGAGCCTGAAGGACATCAAACGGGAAAGCAGGAGCTGCCTCCATGAGCTCCCATGCTCTATGCAAGCAGCAATCCCTGTCCCCATGCTGGGATCACATTCAGTCATTCAGTGCTTGCCATGCTCCAGCAAATCAAGCCAAGTGTGTGGGCTCCGAGTGCTTGGCTGATGCCTCAGAGCATCACGAGAGCTGGACCACCACGGGCCCTCTGCAGTTTGTTAGAAGGGGGAAATAACCCCATTGTTTGCTTGAGGTGGGCTCGGTGTGAGAGCAAAAGGAGCACTGAGGAAGGAGGCATCCTCAGGAGAGCGGCTGCGACTCACCTGCCTTAGGGGGGGCATCGGGGGCCGTTATCTCCACAATGAGGTTCTCCAGGAGGGTCCCTCTGCGGCCGATCTCCTCCACCTGAGCCCCCTTCCCCTTCCACTCCTCCAGCAGATCCTGCTCAAGAACAAAGGACGGGATTGGGGATGTCACTTGCGTGGCTGCAGCCCTCCCTTCCTCACCCATCACCTCTGCAGTGACTCGGTGGCACCGGGACACAGCACCCATGGAACCGGAGCCCAGTGAGCAGACTGCACTGGGGAAGTGGGTGTCTTCCCGTTTATTTTAGTCAGGGGAACTCAAGGAGTGCAAAGCTCTTCCCGAACTATCGGGTCTGCTGAAGGAAACCCCTCTTCTCCCTCCTACTGGTTTGGGACCTCCCTCCTCCTCTGTGCACAACCCAGCCTCGCTGCATCCAGTCCTGGCAGAGCCCGGGGGTGCCGGAGCCCGATGCGCCGTGGGGAGCCCGGTGACGTGCCGAGGGGTGCGAGGGTTGGGGGTGACTCAGCAGACGCTGCTCTGCCTCTGAGTCAAACCCTTGGCACATCCTGATCTAAAGCATCGCGGAGCGGGGGCTCGGATGACAGGACACCTTCCATTGTCTAGCAAGGGGAAAACACGCAGGGAAAATGACTGGGCTTGGGTCTCCCACTCCCAAATCCCACCTAGAGGAGGCAGGGGAGGAAAGGAAATCAGGCAGTGCTGAACAGGACCTTCCCACTGCTCTGCTCCCTGCAAACCAGGGACCACTGGATGCACACACACCCCAGAGGCTGCAGCTCAGCAGCAAGTACAGGGGAGCCCAGGATTCCTGTGACCATAAAACACCTCTCAGCACTCTGCTTCCTGGGATCGATTCCACCTTCCCAGCATTTCCCACTCTGGTTCCACCTCCCTCTGCCCACCTGGATCTGCTGCCGGCGCTGATGCAGCTCCTGGGTGCCCAGGGAGGTCTCAGCGGGCGGCATTTTGCCTTCACTCTCCCTCAGCCACTTCCTCATGGCCCCAACCAGCTTCCGAAACTCATCCAGTTGCTCCTGGCAGGACGACGCATCCTTTTCTCTGGGAGTGAAAAGGTTTTGGAGAGTCAGAGCTCGTGCTTTGCCTTGCAATTACCCGTGCTTGAATGCGGCAGTTGTGCCTTTAGGAGCCCTTTATTACTATCAGTAGTAGATGCTGCTCTGGAGCAGCATAGGCAGCACCAACCAAAGCGGGGTGCCCGCCAGCCTGCCCCTCACCACTGCTGGACCCCTCAAGCCGCGGCTGGTGGCGCTTTGGGGACCACACCAGCATCACCACGGTAGCCAACAGCGATGGACCACCAGGACCTGCGCTGGCTCTGCGCCGGGCTCTTTGTCCCACAGGAAGGGAAGCTTTTGGGAAGACAGAGCTCATTCATGCCTGTGGCCCCAGGCAGCTGCAGGGGGGATGCTGCCCCTCCTCCCTGGCCACAGCTCTGCTCTATTCAGCCCATCCAGCAGGAACAAGGACAGGACAGGAGCCACGGACCCCTCTGCACTCACCCACCGCAGCTGCAAGCAGCAGGCACAGTGTGGAATGACTGGGGATTGTCATGGGATTCACAGGGACAGGCCAAGGGGAATGGCTTGAACCTGCCCGAGGGGAGACTGAGCTGAGCTCTTAGGCAGAAGCTCTTCCCTGTGAGGGTGCTGAGGCGCTGGCACAGGGTGCCCAGAGAAGCTGTGGCTGCCCCATCCCTGGCAGTGCTCAAGGCCAGGTTGGACACAGGGGCTTGGAGCAAGCTGCTCCAGTGGAAGGGGTCCCTGCCCGTGGCAGGGGTTGGAGCTGGAGGAGCTTTAAGGTCCCTTCCAACCCAACCCATTCTGCGATTCTGTGATCTGCTTTTTCCCATCCCCTTCCCTGTATTCCCCAGGGAGTTTGGAGGCACACAGAGCTATGAACCCCCTGGACACAGGCAACTTGTTGCTCAAGCTGCTGTGGCCAATTCATGCCCAAGCTGCTGCTAAAGCTCCTCCTTATCCCTGCTTTAGCAGAGCTCTGTCACCTCCAGAGAGGAGAGCACGCCTGGGGCAGGCTCCCGATCCCGCGCCAGCCCCCATCTCCCCTCTGGCAGGATGCTCCAGGCTGGAGCTGCAGCCCACACGCCGGGAAGCGCAGGAACGCGGCTCCTACAGCACCAGGAATGTTTCACAACGCCCCCAGGCAAGGCTTTTTATAAAGCGTCAGCTGGAGCGAGCTGAGCTGCGAGGGGGAGGCAGGAAGGCTCCGCTCCTGCCCCCCTCTGGAAAGAGCATCTCCCCTCTCCAAGGGGTCTTGCCCCAAGGGGTGCTGGGTCCCCGCACTCACCTCTCCTCTGCCACCTTCTGCAGCTGCACAAAGTCTTTCTTCAGGCTCTGCAGCCTCTCCTGCTGCTGGGAAGCGCCAGGGGCGAAGCCGCAGGAGCCCAGCTCCGCAGCCAGGGTCTCCAGGACAGCCAGGTCCTCCTGGTGCTGCCTCAGCTCCGAGTTCAGCTCCTGCCGAAAGCAAAGGGCGATGCTGACTGCGCCCCAGACCAGGGCAGAGGGGATGAACCAGACAGCCCCGGGTCCTGCCCTCTGTGGGCATCACCCCAAGGTGCACCAGAGCCACGTGGGCACAGCTTACGGCAAATACAGGGTAAATCCCACCTTTCCCAGTGCTGGGGCAAGGCCATGCAGTGAAGGGGATGAGGGGACCCTACAAAACCAAATCCCACACACAAGTGTCTGGTTTTATGTCAGCTTAGAGCATTTCTGAGGCTGTGGCCAACCCACCCCCCCACAGCAGAGAACTCATCAGAAGCCCAAGGGAGGAGTCCCATGAAGCCATGACCAGCCACCATGACCCACAGCATCTCTGAGGGCTTTGTCACATCCTACGTACTGCCAGCATGGGTGTTCTGCTCTATTAACCCCATGGAGGCTTCAACTGGGAAAACCTTGCTGGATCTGGACTGGCCTCTGCAAGCCTGGCTAGAGATCCCCTCTGAAAACCAGCCTGGCTCCAAGGAACCACCACTCTCTCCCTGCTGGAAACAGCCTCAGCCACCCCAGACATGCTCCCTTTCCCAGGCAAATGGAAATGGATCCTGCTGGATGGGGAGAGAATCACAGCAAAACAGCCCTGACACAGAGGGAGCCTCCTCCCCACGGATCTCACCTGGATGTGCTGGAAGAAGCGAGCGATGTCCCGGTCCGGCTGATTCCCAGATGCCAGCATCCTTGCCCTGCTCTCGGTGAACTGCTGCAGCTTCTCCGAGAGCTGCTCGTACTGCTCCACCTTGGGCAGGAGCCCCTTCAGGGCATCCTCCCTGTCCCGCTGCTGCTGGCACAGCCTCCCAAAGTGCTCCGTCACCTCCGCCAGCTTGTCCTGCAGGGCCGAGGCCGTGGGGCTGTCTGCTGCCTCCGTGAACCGTGTCACCATCTCCCGGGTGGCTTCCAGGCAGCTCTTCTGCCGGGCGATGTCCTGCTTCAGCTTCTGCGGGAAGCACACAGAAGGGATGGATGGGGGATTAGAAGGCTCTTGGGCAAAACCCATGTGAAGAGGCCGGGCTGTCCTTGGGAACATCAGCCAGGGGTGGGTGGGAATTGTTTCCTATCTGTTGTCCTTTCCTTTGTGATCTCCCCAGCCTGCTTTGCCTTCCCCCAGTGCATGATTAGGACAAGAGGAAATGGCCTCAAGCTGCACCAGGGGAGGTTTAGGTTGGATATTAGGAACAATTCCTTCCCCAGAGGTTGCTCAGGCACTGAACAGGCTGCCCAGGGCAGTGCTGGAGTCACCATGCCTGGAAGTGTTCACAAACCAGGTAGATGAGGCCCTCAGTGCCATGGGTTAGTGGTGGCATTGGCAATGCTGGGATAATGGCTGGACTGGATGATCTTAAAGGTCTTTTCCAACCTCATTGATAATGATTCTATGTGACATCCAAGCCCTACTTGTTAGCAAAGAAGAGATTTTCAACAGGTCTGTGTCCTAGCTTAAAGAAATTCACTAAAGATTCTGCTCACATCTCTTTTTAGGGGTTGTTTTTGGTGCTTTCAGAATATTGGAGCACATGCAGGGTTCAGGTCCTGCAGCATGGGGAACCTGCAGGGTTCAGGTCCTGCAGCATGGAGAACCTGCAGGGTTCAGGTCCTGCAGCACGGGGAACCTGCAGGGTTCAGGTCCTGCAGCACGGGGAACCTGCAGGGTTCAGGTCCTGCAGCATGGAGAACCTGCAGGGTTCAGGTCCTGCAGCAGGGGGAACCTGCAGGGTCCAGGTCCTGCAGCACGGGGAACCTGCAGGGTTCAGGTCCTGCAGCACGGGGAACCTGCAGGGTTCAGGTCCTGCAGCACGGGGAACCTGCAGGGTTCAGGTCCTGCAGCAGGGGGAACCCGCAGGGTTCAGGTCCTGCAGCACGGGGAACCCGCAGGGCTCAGGTCCTGCAGCACGGGGAACCTGCAGGGTTCAGGTCCTGCAGCACGGGGAACCCGCAGGGTTCAGGTCCTGCAGCACGGGGAACCTGCAGGGTTCAGGTCCTGCAGACAGGCACGTTTGAGGTCAGGAGCCCAGGGCCCATCCTTACCGCGTTCGTGGCAAGCGAGTCCTGGATGGATGCAGAGGAGAGCGCAGCCGGCTGCTCCCTCTCCAGGCTCTTCTCAATCTCAGCCACCGACTGCAGGAGGCTCTCCAGGCTCTCCTGGACGCTCTGGGACTGGGCAATGGATTTCTGCAGCAGGTCTGAGCGCTCGGCCATCTGCTGGGAGAGGCTCTGGAAGCGGCTCACGATGGCATCTGTGGAGGTCGGTGCAAAGGGCTCAGCAAGAAGCAAAGATCCCCCCTTGGGATGCCCTGACGATGGATTCCCATCCCCAAACTCAGCAGCAAGACAGGGATCCAACACAAAACTGGATCACAGTGCTCCCCATGGGCAAACACAAGCCCTCAAGATGCTTTGCTGGGAGCCTTTGCCTCACCTCCTCCCAAAAGTGGGAAATCTCATCTTCCCTCCCTGTTTGGTGGTGGCTTTGCTCTGTACCTGTTGTTTCCTGGATGTGCCCATGGTCCGGAGCCGGCTCCCCTTGTACTTCCAGCAGGGACTGAGCTGCTTTCTGGAGCTTCTCCACTGGCACCTGATGCTCAGCGAGGTCTCCCTGCAACTGCTGCTTTGACACAAGATGAGGCAGAATCAGTGGTGGGTCACACATAAGAGCTCTTCACCCATGGGGAGCTCAGGGCTCCACAGAACCCTGCTGAGGGACCTTGTTCAATCACGAGCTCCTTAGGAAAAATAACACAGGTTGGAAGGCGCAACCCCACGCTGCATGGAAGGTGCAACCCCACGCTGCATGGAAGGTGCAACCCCACGCTGCAGGGAAGGTGCAACCCCACGCTGCATGGAAGGTCCAACCCCACGCTGCAGGGAAGGTGCAACCCCACGCTGCATGGAAGGTCCAACCCCACGCTGCATGGAAGGTTCAACCCCACGCTGCATGGAAGGTGCAACCCCACACTGCATGGAAGGTCCAACCCCACGCTGCATGGAAGGTCCAACCCCACGCTGCATGGAAGGTCCAACCCCACGCTGCATGGAAGGTGCAACCCCATGCTGCATGGAAGGTCCAACCCCACGCTGCAGGGAAGGTCCAACCCCACGCTGCATGGAAGGTGCAACCCCACGCTGCATGGAAGGTCCAACCCCACACTGCATGGAAGGTCCAACCCCACGCTGCATGGAAGGTCCAACCCCACACTGCAGGCAGAGCTGGGTCAGAGGGTCTGGGCTGTCTCAGTTCTCAGCCATCCTCACTGGTGGTGAATGTCCCCCCATCTCCCACTGGGGTGTCCCCATGGGCAGTCTGTGGCTGCAGCAGCCACATCCCCACACAGTCTCTGCTGCTCCCCAGGATCACCCATGGATCCCGTACCTTGGCACTGGAGAGCTGCTTCTGCAGAAGGGCCGGATCCGAAGAAACCGTCTCCGAGAGCAGTTTCCCAATGGCAGCTTCACTCTCCTGCAGCCATGTCCTGAGGGACTCTGCCACCTCCTGGAACTGCTGGTAGTGATCCAGCAAGGTGCTGAGGTGGGAACCGAGCTTGGTGCACTGCGAAGGAGCAAAGAGACATAAGGAGAGGATGCAAACAAAGCACGGAGCCACCTGGGCACCGCTGGAAAACGCACAGAAGTCATCAAGACAGAAAAACCACTAAAAACCCCAATCTTGCCCTATGTGCTATAGGAATCACAGGAGCCCACGGCAACCAAAAGGTGTTACCCCTGCCCAAGCCCTGAAGAAGAGAATCCTTGTCCTACCATCTACATAAGTGCTACAGATTGGCAGGGGAGTGGAACTAGGTGATCTTTAAGGTCCCTTCCAACCCAAACTATCCTGTGGTTCTCTAAGTCCATCCAGACACTGAACATTTCAATGTCCCTTTGCCTTCCCTGTGTGTTCTACACGCACAGGAGGAAAACAGCACCCAGGGTTCAACTCCCAGCCTCCCACAGCCCTTCCCATACCCTGGAGTGCAGTGTGGTGTATCGCCGCGTCGCATCCTCCAGCTTGCTCCTGACCACGCTCCCGGACATCAGCGCCTGGGAGCCGGCATCCCCAGCAGCTCCCTCCGCATCCAGCACCTTCTGCCCCGACATGGTAACGAAGCGCAGGTCCCCTTTGTGCGAGATGACATCCTCGGAGAAGCTGCCCTGCCACTGGAGCAGCCTCCGGAGCGCTGCGGGGTCGCTGCCCATCTTGGCCATCCCCTCCAGATCCTGCTCCGCTTGCTCCAGCCAGGCCTCGAACTCGCCGTGATCCCGCAGGAACTTGTGCAGCTCATCCCGCAGGACCTGCACTTGCTTCAGCCGCGCTTCCGACTGCGCCAGGGAAGCCCCGTACTGGTGCTTGAGCTCTGACAGGCGGCCCTGGAGCCCGGCCCGTTCCTCCCCGGTCAGGCTGTGGCCGTGCTTGTCCAGGAACGCCTGCGCTGACTGCGTGGCCAGGATGACATCCTGCTGCTGGGACAGCAGCTCCTGGTGCTGGGCCTGAAAGATGCCGTGAGCAAAGGTGATGCTTGGGACTGTAGTGAGAGGAGAAGGGGTGGTGGGTTTAAACTGCAACAGGGGAAGCTCAGGTTGGATATAAGGAAGAAGTTCTTTACTGTGAGGATGCTGAGGCACTGGCACAGGGTGCCCAGAGACGTGATAAATGCTCCATCCCTGGCAGTGTTCAAGGCCAGGCTGGATGGGGCTTGGAGCAACCTGGTCTAGTGTGAGGCATCCCTGCCCATGGCAGAGGGCTGGAACTGGATGATCTTAAGGTCTTTTCCATCCAGTCTGTGATTCTACGACTGAGGGTCCCTGCCCCGCAGCACCCAGTGTACCTCACTTCCCCCAGCACTGGTGAGGTGGGGAACACTGCAAAGGCTGGGATAAGAACAGGAGCTCTGCCCACAGAACCCCTGGTCTGACCATGATGAGCACTTTCTCATTACCCTGATGGCACCGTGCCACAGCACCCACCACCAACCCATAGGGGATGTCCTCCAGGAAGCCAGCAGCGACTCCCCAAGCTTCCCACATGGAAAATCCCCCTGAACACAGGCTTTCAAGGCCAGCCGCATCTAACATCCAATGCTGCTCCCAGCTGCATCAGCAGGCTCAGTGCAGGGGGCAGAAAGCTTTGGAGGAAGCAGGTGTTGTCCTGACCTTCAGCCTCTCGTACTGCTCATCCAGGCTCTCGGCAGCACTGTCAGCTCCCACGACGTGGCCATCAGGGACATCCCCTCGTGCCTGCTCGATGGGGTGGGGTCTGTACTCCAGGAGCCCTCCCTTCTGCTCCAGTGATGCCACCCAGTTCAGAAGGGAATGGATCTTCTTGCTGTTCTCCTCCAGCTCTTTGGCAGCTTTCACCTGAAAGCACAAAGGCACCAGATAAAGAATAACCCATTTTATGCACGTTCAGCAACCTGCTGCATGGAGGAGGGAGACAAAAATCCACAGAGGAAACACCCTGGACAGTTTTCCAGCCACAGCAAGTGCCTGAGACACTCACAGAGCTCCACAAACCTTTGTGGCTATTCTGGAAGGGAGGAAGGTGCAAAGAAGCTTTGCATAAACTCAGCATTGCACTTCTAACCCTGTTGAAGCCCACAGCCCCCACCCTGCAATGCTTCAACTCCAGAAGCGAGCATCACCTTCATCACCAGCACATGGAGGGCGCTGATGCCCAAGCTCCTATTAAAGGTCAGCCCAAAGGCAGAACCTTTTCCTCTCCCAGTTCCTGCACAACCAGCCCATCTGTGGCTGCAACTCCCAAGGCACTTCATGAGACAAATACCTGGGGGCACCTCATTTGAGGGACAGACAGGAAGGAACCACAAACCGCTTTACACTGCATCACCCAGCTGAGTGCCAGGACCCCACATGAACCTGATTGCAGCATCTGGAACCTTACTGCCCACCTTCAGGGCTACAGCTCTTTGCACGTCACCTTTTCAGTCTCCTGCTGCACTGCAGCAGTCACGGCGCTCTCCAGCTCCTTCTGGGCCATCTCCGTCCTCTCCTGCAGGGACCGGTACTGCTCCTTGGCGTGCTGGAGCTTCTCTTGCAGCGCTGCCAGCTCCCCAGGCTCCATCTTCGCCTTGTTGTCCTCCAAAAACTCCTCAGTGCTTTTGAGGATGCTGGCGAAGGAGGCGGCTCGGGTGTGCATGTTCCTCTGCAGCTCCTGTGCGGACGATGCCATCAGCTCCATGCACCCCAAGCCTCTCCTCCTCCTGCCCCCCGGCTCTTGGAGCACTGACCTTGACATGGCTCTGCCTCTGCTGCAGGGTGGACAGGTCCCCTTCGCTGGCTGCTCTCTGCTGCTCCACCAGCGCATCCTCAGCCTGGCTCAGCCAGCGGCTCAGCTCAGCCAGGCTCTGCCCCCGGGCTGCCTGCTGCTCCTGCAGTGTCTGCGGGCAGAGCAGAGGCGAGAGGGGACAGTTAGCACCAGTGCTGCACCCCGGCTCGGGCGCATCGCTGCAAGGCAAGGTGAGAGGTTACTGAAGATGGGCAGGCAGCACAGAAACCGGCTTTCCAGCTCTCCATGGGCTCCCTTCTCCAGCTCACACACTGCGGGAATGGGGCTGCGGTGCCCAGCGCCTGCTGAGCAGGAGCTGCTCCCTGCACCTCTGCCACCACTCCCGCAGGTTCCTGCTCTTTGAGAAGCCTCCAGCGTGGAGCCAACGCTCCAGGTCGTGCACTCCTCTCCTGGAGAGCCCAACCTGAGTTTCTGTGCCTTTTCCATTGAGCCTCACAAGCATTAAAACTGCAGCAGAAACTCATCTAAGAGAGGTAGCAACAACCTGAGGTCAGGCAGCACCACTGCGGAGCCCCAAACAACCCAAGTAGGCTGGGTTTGATCCTGGGGTTGGAGAGGGAGCACAGGAGAGGGAAAGTGTTTCTGTAGCTGATCCAGCTCCTCGGGTTTGCTGCCAGAGCACAACACAGAAGCACCTGTTTGAGCAATTGAGCATGATGTGACCTGAGAGTCCCTGCAACGGTCCTGCTCCCCTTTCCCAGGGGAGATAAAGGGGGGGTGTTTTGAGTTTCACTGGGCATTTCAGCAAGGTGATGTACAAACTTGTGCAAAACACTGTGCTTGTTTCTCCCAGTCCTAAGATACGCAATAGAAGCACATTGCAAGAGCCTTCTTAAGAGCTCTTCAGCTGCAAAGCGAGTTCTTCTTGGGTTAGGATGGGCGCACACTCAATCTGAAAAAGCAAAGCAAACTGGTTAATATACACACACACACTCGAGAGAGGACAGGCAAGAGTTACAGAGAGCAATTGTTAATAAAAACCACATTAATCCTGTCTTGAATAAGAGGCTCCATGCAGTGATGGGTGCCGCAGCAACGCAGCAGAGACCTCAGGAGTTGCTTTTGCAGCTGCCTGCTGCCTTGATGGATCATCCGCTGTTTCTCTGGGACAGCTATACCTCACTTGAGCAGTGGAAATAAGACATTAAACCTGCCAAACGCCTGGGGTGGCCCCTCCGCACAGGGCTTTTCAGGTGGGTTTATTCCACTCAGACTATAGCATCTCGATGGCTGCACTACCCAGACTCCATCTTTTGGGAGAAAAGCACCTTTCCACCTGGGAGTTAGGTGGTAGAAGGGAAAAGACCGTAGAGGAAGCTCGGGATGTGCAATAAGTCATAAACTGTGAGTGGCATGCACAGGAAATCCCAGACAGGAGGTGTCTCAGCGCACGTTCTTGTGGCCGGGAAGCGCTTCAGCGAGCAAACTGCAGGCAGGAAGCAGACGTCTCCCAACCTTCACCTGATCCATCTGCTCCACTTGCTGCAGGCAGACCTGCAGGACCTCCACCCGAGCCGTGACGTGCTCCGCCAGGTCCCGGAAAGCCTTCTGCAGCTCATTGAGCAGCCGCAGCAGCTGCCTGCTCTGCTGAGGGGTCAGGTCCTGTGCGTGCTCCGAGATAAGGAACTGGATGTCGAAGGCAGTGGCGTCGAGCTGAGACTTGGTGTCAGCCAAGGGCTCTTTCAGCTCCTGAATGACAAGAGAAAAGACCTGTCAAAATGACCCTATAGGCCTGGACAATCCATGGTGACCGTGGTGCCACCAGCAGCTCTCATAGCCTTTTTGGGTTCAATGCCAAGGAGCTAGCAGCAAGGAGGAGATGCTGAACTGACCACTTCGACAGTTACTGCTGGAAGGGATTCATAGACCACAGAGTGGTTTGGTTGGAAGGGACCTTAAAACTCCTCCAGCTCCAACCCCTGCCACGGGCAGGGACCCCTTCCACTGGAGCAGCTTGCTCCAAGCCCCTGTGTCCAACCTGGCCTTGATGGGGCAGCCACAGCTTCTCTGGGCAGCCTGAATAAACATGGAGGGGAGTTTGAGCTCCTTGTAAAGCCAATGGAGACTGGGCAGGTGTGATGGATGGAGCAATCAGAGCATAAGGAAGCAGCTCTTTCCTCAATAGCCAGATGGGAATCCCTCTGCCCTTACCCCACACCTATATGTGAGCATGTTCCCCAACCAACCAAAGCAGATGGTTCCTGTATTGTAGAAACAAATGACTCTGGAGCAAATACAATACTGTTGCTCCTCCTTCAACACAGGATAAGAGCAAACCCTTGGTAGGCTTCAGGAAGGAAACAGGATTAAAAGCTTCTTCTCCATGCAGAGGACAGCATCTTCATCAGACAGCAGGATTAGGGGCATTGCTATTGTTACCTTGTACTGCTGCAGGCAGCGGCTCAGGCTGTTGGCATCAGTCTCGTGGTCGTAATCACTGCCCTCCAGCGACTGTGCAGTGCTGGAGACCCAGCTCAGCAGCTCCTGGAGCTTGCCCTGGAGAGTCTCATGATGTGCCAGGATTTTAGCCTTCAAAACAGGGATATATCATGTAAAGGAGCAGAGCGTTCCCCGGGAAGGAGCGCGGGGATGCTTGGGGCCGGTGCCACCTTTACCTTTTCAGTTTCTGCTGCCCCACGCAGGTTTTGCAGCCGGGACTCCAGGACATCACTCGTGGAGCTCAGAGACTTCTGCAGGTTCTTGGCATCCTTCTCCAAAGCCTTCAGCAATTGCTCAGGGACTTCTTCAGGGGGGTTGGCCACAATCTGCTTCACGGCGTCCAGCTCCTGATTCACTGGGAAGCTGAGCTCCTGCAGCTCAGTGCCCAGGGCCTGCGGGAAGACAGGAGCGTTATGTCTGAGACAGGGTGACTTCATCTTCCCACTGCCAGAACTGAGGAAAGGTTCTGGAGACCCAGCTCCAAGCTGCATCTATCTGCTAAAGATGCATCCCCATCCTCCAGCCCTGTTCAGCTGCCAGCAATCGCCTGGGCTTTTTCCAGGCTGTAAAATTCATTTCAGTCAAGCTTAGGTTATTGCCTCTGGGCTGCATCCCTCAGAGCAGCTCCAGTGCCTAAAGGGGCTACAACAGACCTGGAAAGGGGCTTGGGACAAGGGCCTGTAGGGACAGGCCAAGGGGAATGGCTTGAACCTGCCCGAGGGGAGACTGAGCTGAGCTCTTAGGCAGAAGCTCTTCCCTGTGAGGGTGCTGAGGCGCTGGCACAGGGTGCCCAGAGAAGCTGTGGCTGCCCCATCCCTGGCAGTGCTCAAGGCCAGGTTGGACACAGGGGCTTGGAGCAAGCTGCTCCAGTGGAAGGGGTCCCTGCCTGTGGTAGGGGTTGGAGCTGGAGGAGCTTTAAGGCCCCTTCAACCCAAACCAGGCTGGGATTCTGATTGCATAAGCAGGGAGCAGGAGGTGAGACCAGACAGGGAGGGATGGGGTTTGCATAAACCCCTGTTAAACCTGAGTCTGACCTTCCTGCTGGCTTCCAAGAGCAAGAGGGAGGTGCATGAAGCTGGGGACAGGAGGGATGAGCTGTGTCCTGCATAACAGCAGCCAAACCCAGCTCACCTCTGCCTGCCGCAGCAGCTCGTGCAGAGCTGCCAAACTCTGCTCCGCCGGCTGCACCCGCTTGATCCGCATCTCGACATCTCGGAGCATGGAGAGATAGGATATCAGCTTCTCGTCGTGCTCCAGACACATCTTCTTGCTGAACATGATCTGCAGAACCAAACAGCAAAGCAAAACTTGGAATTTAGAGAGAACAAAACAAAGGATTATTCTTCTTTTTTTTTTTTCCAAAGAAAGAATCCATTAATAGCATTCCACTTGATGGATTTGCCCCTTGCTGGCCTTATCTACACGATTTACTACAGGGAAAATAAACCACGTGGCTCTTTTCCCAACATAAACGGCAAGAGATGTCTGGAGTTACAGTAAAAGTGCCAAAAAGAGTCCTACTTATTAGTCATTTATAAGTAATGCTCCAGCAGAAAGAAGCCACAACTAAGCCCCGAGTGTTTTCAGGCAGACATCACTGGGTCCTTTGCCAAATCCATTGCAGCTGATGCTGCAGCACCAAACTCAAACATTCACCCCTCACATTCTGGCTGTGCTGAGGACCTCGGGCACATTTAACATCAAACCTGTACAAAGAGCTCATCAAAAGCTGTCGAAGCACCAAAAGCATTGATTTACCTGGGCTGGTCTCGTGGATTCCCTCGAGGTTTCCAGCAGCTCCCCCTCCACTATCACAGGGAGGAGCAAGCTCCGGTCGCCAGGACCCGGCTGCCTGCTCCTATCCTGGGCTGTTTCTCCTTGGGATCTTGGGGGAGCAGGGCCACCTTCTTGCCCTGTGCTGACCTCCGCTCTTGGCTCTTGCTGTTTCTCTTCTCCAGGCTCAAGGACTGCAGCAGAGGCTTCCTCAGCTTCGCTGGGCTCCTCTCTGATAAGTAACTCCTGGGGCAGTTCGCCTGCTGCAGGGGCTGTGATGGACACATCACCAGTGGCTTCCACCTTGGTGTCTTCCTGGGTCATCCCCTCCTCCAGGCTCAATGCTGCTGAGGAATCCCGTCCATTTCTGATCCCACTTTCCATCACCTCTGGAGCTCCCTCTTGCCCTGGGGGGACAGGGGACACCTGAGCCCCAATGAGGTTTTCTTTATCTTCCTCGGAGATAATCCTGGTGCTGGTTTCATGTTTTGGTTCTGCTGTGCTCAAGACCAAGCCCTTCTCCTTCTTCCCTGGGATTTCTTTGGAAATCAGAGAAGGAAGGGACTGCTTTTCTGCAGATCTCTCTGGCTGAGCGCTGTCTCCCGCACTACTGATCTGCTTTGCTTTCTTTTTCTTCCTCTTCTGCTTCTGGGTGGGTTTTAGTTCCGTTTCACTTGTTTTCTCCTGGTCAACTGGACCTTCTGCACCCACTCTCGGGGTTTCTCCTTCAGTGGGTTTGACAGCTCTTTCACCTGCAAGCTCATCTCCTTCAGGCTTTGTAGGGATGCTGGTCTCAGGGGGCTCTGCAGACTCTGCAGGACTCACTTCTTCCTTCCCTTGACCCTCAGTAACAGATGCCCTCAGGGCTGCTGGTGGTACCCGGTCCAGGCTGCCTGCTCGTCCTCCTTGCTCAAAAGCCTCCACTGCACCTTCTTCACCTGCTGCAGCTCCCTCTGCACTTACAAACCCTCTCCTCCTCCTCTCCTCCTCCACGCTCTGAAGCACCTCCACATCCTGCTTTTTCTCCAAGCCAAATCCCTCCGTTTTCCCTGTCCCTTGATCTACTTCTCTCCTCGATTCCTTCCCCCAGGCAGTTCTCACCTGGGAGCTGCTTTTTGCCATCTCCTTTTCCATAGCCCTCACCACCACTGTCTCTTCAGGGAGAGATGCTGCACCTAAACCTGAGGGGTACTCTGGAGTCAGCTGGACCATTTCCTGGGGATGGTGCATTAAACCATCCTCTGAAGCTTCCTGAGGTTTCGATTCCCCTTCTGTCGCTGTCACCGGGGGTCTCCCAGTGGCAGCAGTTGCACCACCAGCCATATCGTAGCTCACGGCTTCAGGGTCAGGTTTGTGCTCAGCACCATCAGGCTTCTTGGCAGCACTGGTAGCACGGATGACATCTTCCTCTTTTGGAGATACTTTTTCCTGCTGTTTATCTACTTCACAGACCTCAGATGTGGATTTGTCTTCGGATACTTGAGCATCCTGAAGCCTGGCAGCTAATTTCTGGCTAATCAGTCCTTTTTCAACAGCTTCCTTTAAAGTCACCCTTTTCCCACTGCTAGCATCAACAATTCCCCCAGCCCTCACCTGGTTGGCGGCGATGAGCTCGGCCATGCCCTCATCCAGCAGCCCCTGCTCCACAGCAGCCCTCAGGGACAGCCTCTTGCTCCCAGAGCCCTCCACCACCCCACCACCGTCTGCCTGCGCCTGCAGCACCCGCAGCGCGGGCACGGGGTCCACCTTGCCCAGGCGCACCGCTGCGGCGCACGTCAGCTGCTGCCCCGTCGCCTCGTCCCGGATGGCGTGGAAGGGATGGACCTCCAGGTACCTCTGCCCAGACTCAATGTCGATTTTACACTTCTTGAGGAACTCCGAGTAGGGAACGAGCATGCAGGACTCGGGATCTACGAGCCCTTCTTTCACCTCGGCGGATGACAGGGCCTTCTCCACAACCGGCTGGGGCACCAAGCCCTCCTGCACTGCCTGACACAGTGCCAGTCTACAGCCAGAAGCAGGGTCAAAGATGCTTCCACTCCCAGCTTGGATTTCTTGCACTTTCCTCTGGAAGTCTACACTAAGGAGCCCTAAGGATACTGCCTGGGGCAAAGGCAACTTCTCCTTTGTGTCTGGATGGACATAGCCCTGCAGACACACGCTTTCAGCTTTCCCAAGTTCCTCACATAGATCTTCATCAATCAAACCGTGCTTCATCGCCTCATTTACCGACAGTCTCATTCCAGACACGTGATGGATGATTCCTCCCTCAGCAATTTGCTTGGTCAAGAGCTGAAAAGCTTTTTCCTTTCTCAGGAGCCCTTTTTCAACAGACTGGGCAACAGTCAGAGGCTGCTTGGTTTTAGGATCCACAATCCCACTGGTCTCAGCCTGTAAGCTAATGAGCTTCTGTCTGGTCGCCTCATCGGTACCTTTCCCTTTGGAGGCCTTCTCCAGCTTGACCAGCTCCTTCTGGTTTGTTGGCTCTATGAGGCCCAGATTTGAAGCCAAAGTGACTGACACTTTCTTGCCACGTTTCAAGTCAACAATCCCTCCAGTAACCACTTGCCCTTCCAAGATCCTCATTGCTGTTTCCTTGTCCAAAAGGCCAACGGCAGCAGCATCCTTGACAGAGTAGACAAAGTTATTGCCTGGGTCAAGAACGCCACTTATTGCCTTGTCAGATGCAAGCACCTTCTGGAGAAGCCTTTCATCCATCAGACCTTCTTCAATGACATCCTCGGTGGTCAATGATTCACAGGTCTGAGGGTCAAAGAAGCCACTGAACATCTTCATCTTCTCCATGAGTTTCACAGCCGTGTGGCTGGGCACCACCCCGCAGGAGACTGCTTCATTCAGAAGAAGAGTCTTGCCTGTCTGCTCATGGACTATGCCACCACTTTGGAGCTGCGTTAAGAGCATTTCCAAAGTGTCCTCTGCTTCCTGCTCTGCAGGGGCTGGCAGGGATGTTTCATCAACACTCTCATCACCCAATGTTTCTTTCCCCTCTCCTTCTTCCACTTCCAATGTGCTTTCAATGTCTTGGCCTTGCCTCTCTGTTTGCTCCCCCTCTCCAGTTTCAGGGAGCACAATCTCCTCTCCTCCCAACACATCATTCTCAATCATTTCCTCGTGTAACATATAAATCTCTCCAATATCTTCAGCCTCTGGTTCAGGTTCCTCCACACCCTGAGACCTCTCTGCCATGATTTCCAGTCTATCCCTATGCTCTGAAACACCCATCGATATGCAGATCTCACTTTTCACAACAACTGCTGCAACTTCTGGCGCCCTCTTCTGATCTTCAATACCTTCCACTCCATCTACTGCAGTAGACTCGGACTCTTCTTCTGTCTCAATCATTATCTCTTCTGTTACTCTGAATCCACTACCGAGCTCACCAGGATGTCCTGGCATTGGTAATTCTCCATGATGCTCGTCCTTGCTTGTAGAATCTATTTCCTCTCTTCCAAACTCAGCATCGGTTTCACTCTTGACAGTAGCCTGTTCGGTATAAACCTGCTCCTGCTCCTCCACAAGCAGGACATCTTCTGCATCCTCCATCAGGAGGCTTTCAGGTCCCATTGCCACCTCCCCATTCTCCAAAGCAGTTGTGGTTGGTAGGGCCTTATCACTTTGCTCTTTTGATGAAGCAAGTTGAAACTCAAGCTGCTGCAAAGCCAAACCATTGCAAGGCTCACTTTTAAGAGCTGCATTTGCCTTTGTCTCCTCAAGGCCTTCACTGTCTTCCAATGTGTATGCACAGGATCCATTTTCTTGGGTTTGGATGAGGGCTTTAGTGAGATTGTTCAACTCTCCATCCACTAAGAGCAGCTTCTGGCCATCATGGATGTTGATGTAGCTGTGGGTCATCAAGTGGAACATCAGCCGGTCGTCATCACTCCTCAGCAGGGGGTCACTTTGCTCTTTGTGATCTGTGGGACTCCTTGCAGCAGAGCTCTGGCCATGCCTGCTCCCTGGGGAGCCAGCAAGCTGCACGCTGGCCATGACATCAGGCATGACTGTTGATTTCAGCCTATTCACCACATCCCTCTCCAAGATGCCATGTTCAACAGCTTTCTTCCAGGACAACACCTCCGTGGTTTCTGGTATAAATACACCCTTAATATGTTGCCTCTTGCTGAGAATCTTGTAAACCAACTCTGTGGACAGGATTCCTTGCTCTAAAGCATCCACAACCGGGATGATCTCCCCTGTCTCCGGCCACAGGAGCCCCATGAAGGACCACAGGGATTCCAGGACCACCAGTGCAATTCTTGGTGCAACCAACTCTTTCCTTACAGCTTCATCAATGGTCAGTCTCTCTCCCGTGATGGTATCGATGATGCCACCAGTCTGAAGCTGCCGGGTAAGAAGTGTACATGCCAAATCCTGGTCAATTAAATTATGCCTCATGGCCTCATCCACAGTGAGTCTGTGCCCTGTCCTGGGGTCCACAATGCCACCAGCAAAGAGGTGGGCTTCCAGCAACCTGACCGTGACCTGCTTGTCTATCAGCCCCTCCTGGACCGCACGGAAGATGCTGACTTTCCTGCCTGAGCTCAAGCTGAGCATCCCACCCGCCAGCTGCTTGACTGGGAGCAGCCTCAGCCCCGTCTCTTGGTGGGTGATGCATCGGTGTGTGAGCTCAAGCAGACTGACTTTCTCAGCAGTGTTGGGGTCAACCAAATCCTTGGCACCCTCCAGGTGAGAGGCGAGCCTGGAGTAAAGCTCGTGGGTAAGGAGCCCTTCTTGTACTGCTGCCTCCATGCTGATTCTGCCCTGATGGACTTTAAAGCCCCCTGTGACGAGCTCAGCTTCAAGAATCTTCAGCCCAATGCTCTCACTGATCCTCCCTTCTTCTATCGCAGCAACAACAGGTAGGAGCTGCCTCCCTTCACATCTGACTTCTTCCACCCGGTGAAGAGCATCCTTCAATTCCTGCAGCACCTGGAATGTCCTGGGATCGATGAGGTTTCTTGCCAGACCTTCCTCCAAGGAGAGCTTCTCATTGGTCTCTGGAACAACTAAGTCAGATGTGATAACCTGGGCCTCCAAGAGGACGAGGCCAGTGTCCTGATCTATAAGACCTCTTTGCATGGCACCAAAGACAGGGAATATTTCTACGGTGCCAAGATCAATCACGCCTGCCACTGCTTCGCTGCCCTAGAACAGAAAGAGAAGGAAAAGAATTCAATCGAAATCGAGCATTTCAGCCTTTGGATTGCACGAGGGAGGTCTCAGCTTCAAAAGAAAACAAACCCAAAACCACCTAAACAGGCTAGAAAGCAAGTCCCAAAGTGTTTGAAATGCACCTCCAAAGGCACCATAGCACACAGATGGGTGCATTTGCTAGCCTGCACATTGCCAGCAAGTTTTAATGCTCCTCTAGTCCAACACCCGGGGCAGCACTGAGATGCTTCCACCATCCACCAACAGGAACGCAGCAAAGCAGCAAGCAGCGAACCCCAGAGGTGCTCCTAATGCTCCATGGAGAAACAGAGAGAAGGAGACCAACAAGCACACCAAAGCTGCTCAACACCTCCACTTCAAAAAGGAAAGACAGCACGAATCCCACTGTGTACTCATGGAGGAGAACAACCCCAAAGATGCCCGCTCCAGGGCATGTAGGAATCTCTCCCAGCGTTGGCTCTTGCCGTGCTTTAAATCCTGCACTTCCCAAGCAGATCCCAAGTGCCAGGATGGCCGGGGAACCCCACAGCCCCCTGTGCCATCGAGCAGCTCCACAGCCTCACAGACTGGCCATGCATCAGGGCAGGAGCGCTGCATGCAGGGCAGCTCACCAGCATGACCACCGGCCCCTGCACCTCCACACAGCCCGGGCTAGGGGAGGACTGGGATAAGCTGGACGTCCCAGACCGGGAACAGACCATCGACTTTGGTGTTTCTGGAGGGGCTTTTCCCTTCTTTCCAGTATCCCCACAGGTAGGGCAATGTTAAAATGATAAAGAGCAGCAGCTCTTCGGACATTTGGGTTTCTCCCAGTGCCATCGGTTGGGTATAAGGCGACCCAATCTTTTTGTGAGGATCGGGAGGAAGCAATGAGGACTGTGGGATGAATTCCTTTTGCATCCCAAACACCCTCTGGTATCTCTGTTTCCTTGGTGGGTCTAACAGCACCAGTGGCTGGGGGTGCTTTGATCTGTGGAGACACGGTGAACCTGCCAGAGGAACCCTAAGCTCTCCACCACCATCACCAGACTGTGACATGCACGTTCAGAGATGAACAAGCCATGGAAAGACAGAGAAGAGGAGGAGAGGGAAATAAAAGAGAAAAGAGAAAAAAGGAGATGGGAGGGAAGGGGGTAAAAGGCTTTTACTTACCCGAGTTGCAGGGTGTGCCTTGAGCAGTTAAAGACAGAGCCTTATGGAGCAGTTCAGCCGTGTCACACACAGTGTAAAGCTTGGTGTTAGCGTCCAGCATGCGACTGCTTTGTTTGCAAAAAGAACCCCCCACACAGGTCGTCCTCCTTCACCTTGTGTGTTTTGATAGTTTAAATCCCGGAGGGTTAGTTAAACTTGTAAGCAAGGATGTCAGTTAATCTCAAAACCAGTTGACATGGAACACAAACTGTACAGGACACATCATGCTCAATTTAGCGCGTTCTGCTTTGCACTCCCGTCTTTTGTAACTTCTCTTTGACAGTTGGATGTTTCCAGCAAGCAAATGTTAAAGAGTTCTTCATGCTCCCTCTACAGTGAAGCAACTGCACCGCACAAGAGCCGCAGGGATCATCCCATAAATGGGATCTATGGCAAAGCCCTATTGCCGTCTCTCCTTTTGTTCCCTGGGCTTCGTGGAGAGCCCAACTGTTCCAGCCCGAGCCCCAACGTGTGCTGATGCTGTAAGAAAACAAGCCCTGGAGAAGGCTTTTGCTGTCAAGTCATTTTCCCACCCAGGAGGGAGGAAAAGGGAAAGGGGAAAGCATCCTTTCCACAGGCAGGCTGCTCCCAGCTGCTCTCTTGGCAGCAGCAGCATCAAAGCCACGATGGTTTAGCAGTGACTAGAGCCAGTTTGCTCACCACAAGCTTTCTGCTGCCAGCACAAGGGCTAAAAGGCTTGCACCAGAAAGCATTTTCTGCACTGACACACCTGAAATGTGCTGTAACGTCCAATCTGGAGAGAAACACTCCATGTTTAGGTGGAAGCTGGACAAGCAGATTTCAAAGGAGCAGCCCGTGAGCAGTTTGAACAGGGCTTCACTCACGGACCCAACAGCCAAACTCGGCGTTACGTGTCCAGATCTGAGTGGGCTGTTGCTTCAGAGTACAGGGAGCCAGCAAGCAAACACACAAATATACCATTGACACATGTATACACACTCACATAGCACGGACATGTATATCTGAATGACTGGAGACAGCTCTTAACAGAGGCAGTAAGGATGCACTTCCAGCCCTCCCTACTCAGTGGAACACGGATGAGGACTGGTGGATGGGAACAGGGAATGGGTGCAGCTTGGGTTGTGAAGGTCTCCCAGGCCACCTGAGGACCTGGTTCAGTTGAGCACCTTCATTCAGAGACAAACCTCACCAGACCCTGAGATACATGAGACTGCAAATGTCCTTCTGCAGAAACCCACCTTCTTGCTCCCCTGCACACAGGCAGCCTGTGAGATGGAGCACTCTGTGGTTAAAGCACTGAGAGGGCATCCTGCAGAGGACACACATCTGCTAAGGGGACCCTTTCCATCTACACACTGCCCACCAAGCGTGAACAAGCTGACCCTGGTGCACAGGGTCCACTGCAGAGGACAACTCTCCCATGACCTGGAAGGCAGCAGGTACACGGCTCCTCCTGCTTGGCCTCCAGGGAGCACCCCAGCTTTGGATAATGCATGGATGGAAGAGAAGGGAGGGCAACCACGTGCACATAAGAACGGTGACAGTGACCGGTGGCCATGAGAAACACAACCAAGGAAAACCTCTTCACGCCCCAAGGAGCATCCTGTGTCCATGTGGCCACAGGACCAAGCAGGGAGCAGTCAGTACCTTGTGCTCTGCCTCCTGAGCCAGCTGGTTCTGGAGCTGCTGGAGCTGCTCTGTGGAGTCACTGCACAGCTCCTGGTAGGTCTCCTTCAAAGCACCAAGCTGAGCGGAAATCTGCTCCTTCTCCGGATGGGAAAGCCTGCAAAGGGAAGGGGAAAGCTGTCAGGGAACCTGCACAGCCCAGCTCCACAGAGTTACCGTGCTCTTCTTGTGAAGGCTAAGACCAAACCCACCACGAGTGCTCCCTCTCCACTGCCCAGCTGAGCTAAAACAAGCACGGGTCAGTATGCTGAGCAAAGGCTGTTACAATATGAGTTGTAACACACAGACTCCCAAATATACAGGGCTGGGTCACTACTAAAGGGGATTAATATTGTCACAATAGCATAAATAGGTGGCACATTTCCTAGCTCTCGGTGCAGAGAAGAAAGAGACAACTGTCACGTACAGCTCATCGCTGTTTCTAATGGCGCTCGGGCACTGGACCCCAGCCCACAGCCTCAGCTCTAAGGGGTCCCAGTGCTCTCCCTCCCTCACCCCTCCTCACACCACACTCACTTGTGGCTGTGCTTTGCCAGGAAGATCTGTGAAGTTTTGATGGCCTCAGAGACCTGCTCCTTCTTTGCAGCCAGCTCCTCATTCAGGGCCTTTCAAAACCAGACACAAAAGGAAGATGCTTAATTCAGCGGTGGAAGCAGAGCAGCAGTTAAACACTGCCTGCCCCCTGCCCCTGCTTTACCTGCTGCTCCGAGATGGATTTCTCTATGTCGCCCAGCTCCCTGCTCCCAGCAGCAGCCATCCTGCCTTGCACACTCTGCTTCAAGCCCACGGCCCAGCCCAGCAGCTCCTTCACCTTGTCCACATGCTCCTGCTTCTCCTCCTCTACCACTTTCTGCAAACAGAGGAAGGAAACCACATCAAAGGGGTCCTCACATGCTCTCAGGAGCAGCATCCGAGATGTAACCTCAACATGGAGCAGCACCCTTGGGGTGCTAGAGAATGAGCCTGGACAGAGTTCAGCCCTCTACAACATCCTTACCTCCTCCTCCTCCAGACGCCGGAGAGCATCGCTGATGTACTTCACGTGCTGTGTGGTTAATGTCACCAGAGCTGTGTAGCGAGTCCGTAAATCCATAAACTGTGAAGGGAGAGGGGGGAAATGGGGCACATCCGCCACAACTGGTAGATCCCCTGTGATACACTTTACAGTACAGGACCCAATGCACCACATCTCACTTGGAAAGCCCCCAGACACCTCACAGACGCAGCACAGCATCAATGAAACACAGCAAGTCTGCAGGGCCACACATAGCATCCTGCACGACACTGAGCAGAGGGGAGATGCTGGTCATGGACACTGGGATGCTCAGCTCTTACAGAGGACTACCAGGATCTTTACTATCCACACAGAGCAGACAGCACCTCGGGGCCCTCAAGGCCTCACCCCAAGGATCCACACACAGGAATGCTGCATGGTGCTCCTGTTATTTACCTCGCAAGGCTGAGGGGCTGAGCCGAGCCTGCTGGATTTGACCCAGGGATTCCCAGGAGCCTGGGGATGTCCTACCTGGTGCTTAGAGCATCCCCTCTGGCTATGGGGAAAAGCAGCCAGGGTGGAAACTGTACTGGTCCCAGGGAGTTGATCAGAAAGGAGCTTGTTTCAGAGGCTGCTCAGTGTTGAAGAACCCCCCCAACAATCCCTCCCCTGCTCCTACCTCCTGCGTGATGGCATCCGAGGAGGAGAGCATCCGCCGGCGCTTCATGGGCGACTTCTGTTGCGACTCCACGAACGCCCTGTATGTCATGAGCTGCAGCTCGTAGTCCTGCAAACACAACCAGGGTGCAGAGACATGGAGCATGGAGATGCAAATGCAGGACCGTTCCTGCCCAGCCAGCCTCGTGTAGGTGCAGGAGGGACCATGTACCTTGACAGCAGCTGAGTATTGCTGGGAGAACTTCTGACACTGGTCCAGTTTGGCTTGATTGTTCTCTATCTCTGCAGCCAAAGCCTTCATCAAAATTGAACAAAAGCAATTGTCAGGATGGCTGCCATGGGTGCTGAGCTGAATTCCCATCTCCAGCCCTCCCCTTCTGGGTGAAATCTTTATACTCTTCCATTTTGATGCATGGCCTCATCTCCACCTCAAGCTAAGCTGGGTTTTTCCACGTCCCAGACCCCCAGCTCAGGCCTGCAGCCTCTTCCCCACCACGCTTCATCATTTGAAGCTCACAGATAAGGCTTTAGTAAAAGAGAAGTGACGCGGTCACTGCATCAGCTGAGGCAGCACCGGGTCCTTCCTCACCGTCTGCTGGCTGAGCTGCTCCGACAGCACCCGGCTGTCCTCTGCCTGCCCGGGCTTCATCAGCTCCTGCTGCACTGTGATCTCCTCGATCCACTGGATCAGGGCACTGTGGCACTGCCGGTAGTCACTCAGCACCTCCTGGATGCTCTCCAGCTCTGCATGGCTGAGAGAACCAAGGCAAATGAGAGTGAAATGGCACCAAAGGCTATAGGGATATCCCAGCCACCAGTAGGAATCCCATGTGGAAAGACATGGGTGCTAACAAGCGTGACCCCAGCTCTCAGCTGAAGCACAGGAGTGGATCTGGGGGCTCACCGGGTCTCGATCTGGGCACAGACGCGCTGCCAGCGGTCCCAGAGCTGGGTGCCCTTCTCCTGGTAGCGCTCAAGGTCGATGCTGCGCTCCTGCCGCAGCCGGTAGAGCTGCTCCGCCACCGCCTTCGCCTTCGCCAGCTCCTCCTCCAGCGTGGAGAACACGGAGCCCTTGTCCTTCACCTCCCCGAGCCATTGCTGCGGAACCAGAGAGAGGCAGCACCGGGTCAACGCCATGGAAAGGAAAGGGCACGTTAGGTCAGTGATGCCCTCCTGGACGGGGCTGATTTGCCTGAGAAGGGGTTTATCTCTCCTTAACCTGCCAAGAAATGGCTGATTATAGGAGGTATAAAACACAGGGGACCATATTCCCAGCATGGAGCAAGACAGATTGGTTCAGCCCCTGCCCTACAGCAACAGGAAACCCAAGATGCTCACACACGCTCTATGAAAGAGAGCACAAGCTATAGCTGCTCCTTCACGTTTCCAAAGCAAGAAGGGGTCACATAAACAGCATAAAATCCTCCTGGCAGCTATACTAAGGCAAGAAAAGTGTCACAAGGTACAGACTGAGCAGGAGAAGGGCAGAAGCCTGACAAATGTCAAAGCATTGGCTGGTCTCTGCCTGCTCACTCCGGGAGGTGACCAGCACCAACCTGTAAGGCTGCTCTGTGGGACTGGATAGCGGCCAGGTCAGCAGGCACTGCCTCCTCTTGGCTCAGTTTAACCTCATACCCTTTGACCAGAGATTCTGCTCCTTGGGTGTTACGAATGATAACATCAACCGTCTTCAACCTGCAGAGCAAACAGAGGCCACACAATGACACAGAGATGCTCTTGGACCTGTTTGCAACACATGCCACAGAGGGATGGAGCTCAGTGATGCTCCAGTGCAAGGTGTGCTAGAGGCCCAGAGGAAACATATTTAGCAGAACTGGGTGGCTTCAAGCAGGTATTTGGGAACAGAGGCATGTCCCGACTCACTTTTGCAGGTAGGTGGAAGACAGCCCATGCATCTGGTCCATCTTGCTCACCACCAAGTCGAGTTCAGAACGCAGGTGGGGTGTGCTGGACCCTGCGGGCGCCTTGTTGAGGAAGCTGTAGCATCTCTCCGAAACAAACCGCAGGTCCGACTGCAGCCGCTGCAGATCCTCCTGCATCCGCTATGGCAGGAAGGGGAGGAACGTGAAAGGAATGCCCAAGCAGGTGGGGAAAAAGCAGGGTTGCCCCAGGCAAAGGGGGTGATATGAAATGATGCAACTGGAGAGGTTTCCTGCTACCTCCTGTGCAGCAGGATCCCCTCGACCCCTGCACAGTCACGCACTCACCACCCTCACATCCCCCCATAGAAGCTAAAGCTGGTTTTGGCCCATGCTGAAGACCGGTGGCCACCACCTCCCTGCCCTCCCCATCCCAGGACTGACCTCCTGCTCCGCAATGCGGATGGTGTTTTCCTGGATGGTGTCAGCATCCGCTCGGGCGCTGCTGGGGGCCTGGATGCGGCTCACGAGCCGCTGCTCGCACTCCTCCAGGCGCAGGCGGATGTTCTTCAGCTCCGAGAGGTACGTCCTGGCAACGGTCTCGTCCTTGTCTTCTGCAAGTCACAGACAAACCAAATCAGCAGCTTCATCCACCCTGGCTGGTGTCTGCCTCACATGGGACCTGCCGGGAGCCCCGGAGCCGAATGCAGCATCACAGGGACACCGAGGCACCGGATGTCTGCTCAGATGGAAGAGTCAAGCAAATAATCTCATTCAAATGCAGCGGAAAATGAGCCCAGCCACAGGGCACCAGGAGAAAACTGGAGTCCCTGGTCTTAGTGGGATTCACAGCGTCGCTGTGTCACACATGTCACCACCATGTGTTTCCCTTAAGGCCCCCATGCATCCCCATGACTAAACCTGTCTCCAACAATATTAGGCCAAGAGCAGTCAGCAGTTAAGCTGAAGCTGCTAAGTCTCTCTACAAGAACACAGCTGGACGAAGGCCCAACACTTGAATGGATGGAGAAACAAGGAGAGCAGCTGCTCACACCATCAACGAGCTAGGCCAGAAAGAAAACAAAGCCATCCCATCAATCCTCTGCTTATGAGGCCCCACAGCTCCTGGTTAATCCATCAGCCCTTTGAAGCTCACCGTTCTCCATGGACTCCAGCAGCTGCCGGATGTGTTCCTTGGAAGACTCCACTTCCTCCTCCAGGCGCAGCCTGTCCGACACGGAGAAGAGCTCCGAGTCCCGGCTGTCCTGCAGGAAGTCCTCATAGTGCGCCTGGAGGCTCTTCATGGCTTGCTGGCACTCCCCTTGCGCCAAGGACCGGAGCTGCACGTGGAAAAGCAGCACATTGAGCCCCCGGGAATGACTTCCGATGCAGCACCTGAGGCCACCCTGCCCAGCTCAGTCGCCTGCGTTTGCCAAGTGAGGAGTTGCGTGCAGAGGAAGCTGAGCTCCTCTGTACCAGCCCCACACCTCCCTCCAGCCTTGCTTGCTCCCTAATGGAACGCTCAGTCCACAGTCTCTTATCCCTATCACAGGCCAGCAGCAAACTGCTGATGCTCTTTCCACTGGGGAAAACCACAACCATTTTGCACAGAACCCCATGGGTTTTCCCACTGTTCACAGAATCACAGAATCCCAAGGGTTGGAAGGGACCTCAAGAGATCATCTGGTCCAACCCCCCTGCAAGGGCAGGGTAACCTAGAGTACATCACACAGAAACTTGTCCAGGCGGGCCTTGAATATCTCCAACACAGGAGACTCCACAACCCCCGTGGGCAACCTGTTCCAGTGCTCTGGCACTCTCACAGTAAAGAAGTTTTTCCTGATGTTCACATGGAACCCCCTATGCTCCAGTTTACACCCATTGCCCCTTGTCCTAGTACTGGACATCACTGAAAAAAACCTAGCTCCATCATCCTGACACTCAGCCTTTACATATTTGTAACCATTGATGAGGTGACCCCTCAATCTCCTCTTCTCCAAGCTAAAGAGACCCAGCTCCCTCAGCCTCTCCTCATAAGGGAGATGTTCCACTCCCTTCATCATCTTTGGGGCTCTGCGCTGGACTCTTTCAAGCAATTCAAAGCAGTTCAAAGACCTTTGACTTCCCCAGCCTCACAGTCTCTGGTCTTCCCTTTCTCCTCAGCCTCATGAAGAAGCCTGGACAGTGACCGACACAGATCCAGGCAGAGAAGCTCCTACTGTACCTTTTCCATGCTGAAGCTTTGCACCAGGGCTATGTCCTTCCGCAGGTAGTTCCAGGAGATGAGGCTCTTTGTGTTCATGTGCAGCTGGTGCCAGAGAGCCATCACTTTCTGGTACAACTGTTCTATCCTGCCAGGGGAAGGAGCAGATCCATCAGCGCTGCATCTCTGCAGCACGCTCAGCCCTGACCCTAATCCACCAGCCATTGCTGCCAGTCAGCAGCCCACCAAGCCAACAAGCCCTGTTCCTGCTGTCCAGTGCCAGAGATCCCTGCAGGGATCCCCCATCCCATATCTTCATTTTCTCTAAGCTACTATAGCAGCTGCTGCAATGGAGTTTGCAGCTGTATAACCATGAGGGATTCCTTCCTTTGCCCCAAACCAGCCATGTCACCAATTCCTGTTCCTCCACCCCAGCTCCTCTCCCATTCCCACCCCAGCTCTGCCCTCTCCCCACCTCCCTGCCATTTGCACATCAGCCTCCCCCCACAGTAGAGACCAAGTTACCTGTTGGCCATCTCGATGGCCTCTTTGTTGGGCGGGGGGATCAGGAAACACACCGAAGGCACCATGGCCTCATTCCCTGTGGGGCTGATCACCTTCCACTTGGTCCTCTGGGAATTGTCCTCCAGCACACACTCGTCATTCCTGCAGATGGTGATCTGCAGGGACACCAACACCGTCAGAACCCAGCAGTGGGGCTGCACACACCTTCCCTTGATGCCAGCTTCCATAAATATATATCCCTGTATCATATATTTATGATATATAGAATCATAGAATCATAGAATGGTTTGGGTTGGAAAGGACCTTAAGATCATCCAGTTCCAACCCCCTGCCATGGGCAGGGACACCTCGCTGTAAACCATATCATATAGGGATGATATATACATCCCTCTATCAGTGCCAAGGGTGCATCAAGCTCACGTCTGGAGAGGAAGGGACAGGAGCTGGCTGCCACCACGTGCTTATTTGGCTGAGGCTGATGAAGCCCATCCTTGGGGAAAAAGGACTTTAACTCCTGCCCAGAATAAATCTGAGACATGGAAATCTGCTCCAGGAAAAACAGCCCTGCAAATAGCTTCTGCTTCCCCCTCCATTCCTGCTTTCCACTGACAGACACCATGGAGCTCATCCCAAACTATCCCAGGTGAGTGAAAGACCCCAGAAAAACAACCCAGAGGCCCCAGAGCTTTAAGATGCCGTGATCACAAGGCAAGGTGTACGCAGACTAGAGGCAATGCCTTTGAAGATAATAGTGTGCAAGATTCAACAGTTGATGGCCCTGACCGAGGAACCAGAGGCGCAAAAGTGCAAGTAGTGCTAGGGTGTAGGGGGAAAGAATGATCCTGAAGCTGGTCGTGATAAACCTTACATCCACCAGGTTGCTGATCTCTCGTGAGAAGCCCAATCAATAGATAACCCAATACCTGAAACTAGTACAGAGAGACTGACTGAAGAGTCTGATTAAGAAACCAGCCATCAAATGTGACTTACAACCCCCCAGCGTCGCTGATCCTAAGGCACTTCTGTATGCTTAAGCAATAGAAATTAAAGAGCAGCATTACATTGACCTAAATCATTAAGACCCATTGCAAGTAACCATTGAGACATTATTCCAAGAAACAAAACAGAGCTGTTCCAACAACTATCTGCAAGTATAGGATATGAAATAGAACATAAAACTCTAATCCACAAAAGAATGTAATGTATAAGGGACAAGCTTATAATGCCCGATACACAGTTTGTAAAGTAAGCCCACGGTGCCTATGGGAGGGAAGGGGGGGCCCTTTATATGGGTAGGTTAATGAGGCCCTTCGAGGAGGCCATGGTCCCTTTCAGCAACACCTCCCAGCCCTCACCTCGATCTGCCGATAGTCACAAACAGCCTTGATGGGGATCGTGCTCCTCACGAGGTGCTCCGGGTTCCTGGGCCGCAGCTGCACGATGGTTTTGGAGCGTCCCACCAGGCTGGCGACGGAGCTCTTGGACTGGATGAGCTGCTCCTTCTCGTCCTGGCGGAGAGAAGGGTAACGGGGGGGGTTTGCTCGAGGCAGGGGGGAGAAGGTCTCTCATAGGCATCTCCGCACCTCCCACCCCAACGCTGGCCTGGAGGAGCTACGCTGGGATCTCAGGGGCTGAACAAACACATTGGGAGGATCCTGCTGCCCTAACGGGGTGGGAAAAGGGGTCAGGAGATGGGATGGGAGAACGGACTGCACGTCGGGGGGGGTCCTCTCGTCTACCACTCCCCCTGCCCTGCAAAGCCGCATGCACGCCTCTGGCTCTGTTGCTGCGAGGACAAGAACACGTTTTCTTTCAACAGGGAAAGAAAGAGAACACAGCAGACACCAAAATGAACATCCCAGGAGCTGTAAGGGGCTGTCCTTACAGGACAAGCTCCAGCCCAAAGCCGGCACATTCAGTTGTCTGGAGGAGAAACCACAGAAGCATGCTCCCTTTTCTAAAGCAAAGGATGAAGGCAATGTGAAAACCAATGGCTGGAATGGGAATACAATGAATTACGTGGATAAAACATCTGGGGAGAAGGGGCTAATGATGGAGTGATCGCACAGGCCTCTGGCAGTGGCCAGAAGCTTCCCAAGTGCAGGAGGATGCTGGGTACTGATTCACACAAGTCCCTGCTGGGTTTGGTGGTGGGACAACCCAGGGCACTGGTGGCAAAGTCCCTGGAAGAGCCTCTGGCACCAGCAGAGACCAGTGTGGATCACTGCACTGGCAGCTTGTGTGATTAGCGGCAGCTCAGGCTGTTCTGGCTGCAGAGGTTTAAAAAGGATCCCCAGGAACACGTTCTCCTTCATGCTTGGTATTCCCGGGGCTGGTTAGTTGCTAACAACAGTGGAGGATAACTTAATGGCAAAAAAACAAAAGGAAAAAGAAAAGAAGAAATGATTAAATAAACTACCTGTGCCTGTCCCAGGGAGCATGATTGGAAGAAATACAACTTTAACTTATCAGGTAAGAAAGAGTAATAGAGCTGAGCCCTGCGGTCGTGGCCACGCTCCGGCTGCCCGGATGAGCCTCTCCCACCCTGGCCAGTGCCCGCCGGACTCCTGGAATTGCAGAGCTCACCAATAGGGACACCAGGAGCTCTGTGTCCTGGTAGTGCCGGAGAACAGACCAGGACAACCCCGAGACCATGACAGAGAGGCTGGGAGCCCCCAGGAGAGAAGACAGTGAGTCCTAGCCCAGCTGAAGCACCCATCGCCAACACCCCCTAAGGGCATCCCCATTCCCTGGGGACACGCTGGAGATCAGCGTTGTGCACCAAGAGCAAAGCCAAAGCAGCCACCTGCCTCCACACCCTCAAATGGCACCTCCTGGCCCTTCCAGCAGTGGCTCAGTGGTTGCCCACAGCCCAAACCCTCCTCTGTCCCTGGTTTCAAACCCCATCCGATGCTTTGCGCCTTGGGGTTTGGTTTTTGGTTGTGTTTCTTTCAGGCCAATTTGGATGAGGGTATCACAGCATGATCGTGGTCATCCCCTCCCTGCTATGCTGCAGCTAAGCCAGGGCACGTGTCTGGAGCTCAGCACTGCTCCCATCCCCACGCACAGCCAGGCTGCCCTGGCTCTGCCCCCAACGGCACAGCACCATGGATTAACATGGGATTTAGTCTGGATGAAGAGCAGGCATTTCTCCGTATCCTAGTGAACACCAGCCCAAAGGCAGAAACTGGAGCATCCTACAGGCTCTGCGCCTCCCTTGGTAGAAACCAACCAGGATGGCAGGATGGACACCAATGGGAAGAACCAGCTCAGAGCTTGCACAGGCAGCACATGCTGCCTGCTCTTCACCCCGAAGCTGCAGTGACCCATTGGCTGTTGTAATTGAGACCCAGCTACCATCAGCAGCGTTAAATCCACACAGGGGTGCACAACGTGCACTCCACGGCCACGTACAAACACGTGCAGCAGCTCCAATGGGAAGCAAAACATTGACCACGATGGAGAAACAAATCACATTACATGAACCTGCATCACTGCGGGAATAAAAGGAACCCAGTTTTCCCTGGGAAGCAAGAGGTGCCCCAAGCAACGCTGCTGGACCGGAGCAAGAAGGCCACCCATTGCCCACCCAGGGTGTTGGGGGTGTTGGAGAACCCACCATGGAGTCCTGCAGCAGGTCCTCCAGGCGCGTCAGGCTCGTGTTATGGTCACAGGAATACTTCCTTTTGATGGAGTCCTGCAGGGTGCGCAGGTAGGTCTCCAACTCCCGGGCATCACTGAAGAACTGCAAAGGCAATGAGGGTCACAGAAACCTGCCCAAGCCCCAGGAGCAGTCAGCAGCACACTGCACACACCACCCCCCCCAGCACCTCAACCAGGAAATCCCAATGCTATTCCAGTCTTAAGGCTGCGAGGGCATTGAGCATCCCATATGGATGGCCAGAACTACATGGAAACAGACCCCTTTTGCCCTAGTGAGACATCCCCAGAGAGCAGCTAAGGGGAATGAGATGTTTTAGGAGCAAGCAGCCCCCATGAGCACCACAAATCCCTCCTTCCCTCACCCCAGAGGGAGCAGCAGCATATGAAGCTCATGCAGTGGATGGGGACCAGGGGAATTTGGGCTGTTCCTCCCAAGTACCTGGAAATAGGCAGCGTTCTCCTTCACGTGCTGCTCCACGCACAAGCAGAGCTGCTTAATCCACTGCCACTGGGTCTGCACAGCAGCGCTGTAGGCCTAGGAACCATGGACCAAACAGAGATGACATAGCAGGGGGTTGGAAGTGGATGAGCTTTGAGGTCCCTTCCAACCCAAACCATTCCATGATTCCATGATTTCCTGCCTGCTCACCTCTACAGTTTGCTTGGCCGGGTGGTTCTCCAGGGACAGCAGCTCTGCTGTGTCTTGGAGGGAGCGGAAGATGTCCTGCTTCTCATCCAGCTCTGTCATCAGCTCCTGCAGGAAGGACACAAGCAAAGTGCAAATCTCAGCTATGGGGAGCTGCCTCACTCAGACTGGGTTCAGTTAACACAGCACAGAAGCACTGCAGTAAGTACCAACAGTACCACGACCAGTCCCCCTCAGGATGCCTCCTAGGCACCAAACCCATGGGGCAGATGTAACACAGGTACTGGAAACCTGCCCAGGAGCCCCTTCAGTCCCAGGCAGTGCAATTGTGGAGACAGCAGTTTATTCATACTGCTTTAAAGAGGTATCAATTTCCTTTTCTTCCTCCCCACTAGTTAAAGATGTCTTTAATTCCACATAGTGCCAAAAAATCATCTTTTGACACCTTTTCCATTGAAACTCAATGGAATCAATAACTTCATCAGCTGCACCCCTGAGCTACAAGCTCCATGACTTTAGAGGGAACATCCAACCTCTGGGGACCTCAGGTCTGCTGGTAGCTGAAGGACCCACAGCAGGTCAAAAGCAGCAGCAGCACAGCCCAGAGAGCCCCCATCCCAGCAGCCCTGCTCACCGAGAAGTAGTTTCTCTTGGCTGCAATGTTAGTGTTGCTGTCGCTCCAGTCGTAGGCCAGCTCCTCCTCCTCCTTCTCATTGAGCCAGATGAGCTCAGCAGTGGCCCGGGACACAAACCCATGCAGGCTCTGGAGGTGCCTCAGCCGGAAGCTCGAGGTTTCCTGCACACAGTGAAGGGTGATTCCTCTCCCCTGCTCTGCAGTGGATGGTTTCTTCCCCCCATCCCCAGCCTCGGAGCAGGGATGCTCAGGAGCAGGGCAGCAAGGATGGACCCTGTGCTGCCCCGGCCATGCCAGAGCCCACCTGAAGCCCACTCACCATCAGCTTGCAGTACTGTGTCTCCAGCTTGCCAAGTGTCTCTGTGTAGCTGGCACGGAAGTTCTGAGACATTTTACCCTGAAGTATGAAAAACGCTCCGGTTACCCAACACAGAACAGCATCACCTGAAACCCCACCTCCAAATATCCCTCCCCAGCTCTCTGTGAGTGAGAGGAGGTGGAAGGATGGCTCAGGGCAGCAGCTCCTCGCACCAACCCAGCATCAGTTCAGAATCTCCATCCTTAAACAACACCTTTACCCACAAGAACCCATCCTGATGCCCTCACCTTCCCACAGGAGCTGTGCCATGCACTGCATCACCCAGCCCGTGCCACTGTACCTCATACATCCTGGCCTCCTTTACGCTGGAGCCCAGGTCCTCCACGCTGGTATGGACGTGCCGCTGGGTCTCCAGCTGGGTTTCCACACTCGGCAGGTCTGTTCCCCACTCTGCCCGCTCCAGTCTCATCTGAAACAGGCCAAGGGGTTCAGGTCAGCTCTCCTCATCTGCAGGAGCATCTCTCACAGGACATGAGGGCAAGAAAACCTTCCAGGTCACTCAAGATGGAGCAAACACCACTTCAGTCCTGGCAGAAGGTCCTAAGCCAGTGCTCCACCACTGAATGATTGCTGGGGCAGCCTACACAAGCTTCACACCCACTTAAGACCAAAAGAGCTGCCTGCATCGGTACAGATTTGCTTCCAGCTTTGAAAGGATCTTCTGATACCCGCTGATGAGAGGGGCCACAAGAGAGAGAACCCCACCCAAGATAAATGTGTTGGTGCTCCCCTGAAACTCTGAACCACCAAAGCAATTACTCACAGATAAAGCAGGATAAAGCCCAGAGCAGGTTCCCACCTCCCCACATCAGTGTGAGCGGGTGATGAGCCCCAGAGAGGCAGCACTCACCTGCATCTCCTCCACCCAGGCCAGCAGCTCATACACGAACCGGAGGCTGCCCTCATCTTCAGAAGAGGAGATGGCCACCAGCTCTGTCCTGGTCATGGGCTTCCGGAACCAGGAGGCAGAGGAGGTGTGAAGCCCTTTGGTCAGGGACTCGCCCTTCAAGTGCGTTGTGCTCAGTGTGGAAGTGGGCACCAGCTCCAGGGTGGAGAAGTGACCTTTCCTGTACAGGTTAGTGCATTCCAGCCTCAGCGTCACCAGCTCATCCTGCAGCCGCATGATCCTGGAGGAGCAAGGCCCAGGTTAGGAGATGCACACACACGTCTGCCCCTTCCCCACAGCAGAGCAGAGAAGCCCCATGCATCAACCTCTGACCATGTTTCTCCATCCACAGACCATTCCGACAGGGCCCGTCTCACCTGAACACCAGCTCCTCCAGCTGGTAGTAATTCTCATCCCGAAGGATCTGCACATCCACCTGGAGCTGGCGGATGAGCCCCTCACACTCCTGCAGGTACATGACCACGTCGTGCTCATACTGCACCGGCTGCCCTGACTCCAGGTGAGCAGCATCCTGCATGGAGAGAGGAGACTGAGGACACATGGGCACAGCGACAGGACAGGAGCCCAGCATCAACTTCAAACCCCAAGAGACCTTTTGGTCCGCAAGCTTGACTTGAGCAGAAGAACATGAGTTCATCATTCACACCACCCCCAGGATGCCCCCTTTAGAAAAGCTCCTGCAGATAAACTGAAAGCTTCTAATGACAGATGGGTTCCTGTGGTTAGGCCCATGGACAGTCACTTAAATCATCTCATTTCTTGCTTGGGCTTAACTATTTTTAGCTCCCAACCCTCACATCTTTTTCTCCCAGAACAAAGCACCATTTTCAGATACCTGCTCCCTACCCAGGTGGCTGCAGCCTGCCCCTTTCTGCCAAAGGACTTGCTGTCCTTGTCACACAAATGAAACAGAGCTGGGGACTTTAGGCCTAACAGCACAACAAGCTGTCCCCAGGGTCCTTGTGTGATCAGTGGATATCCACCACCACCCCGCACTGTCAGGAGATGGACCCACCAGGAGAGGTGTCCTGGAGAACCAACCACCCCACGCAGGAGAGGAAGGAAGGGTGGGAATGCCCCCTGACTCACAGCCTGCAGCGTGTTCTTCGCCAGGGTGAGTTTCTCCTCACAGCTCAAAGCACCATTCTGGATTTTGTTGGCGATTTGTAGCAGCAACTCCAGCCTGTGAGGACAGAGGGGAGCAGGATGAGAACAGGGGCTTTGGGCCATCTCCCCCAGGCAGGGGAGCAGGGGATATCCCCACACCGACCTCTCCACCGCGGGCCGCAGCAGCTTCTCCCGCTCCAGCATCTCTATGATGAGCTTGCCCCACTCCTCCTCCACGTCGTTGGGGTGGTAGCCCTGGGGCAGCTTGATGCGTCCAAATTCGATCCACACCTGGGGAAAACACCAACAGAATGGCATCTCCTTCCCTCCTCCTTGAGCTGGCTACAGACCACAGCAAGGAAAGCAGGGCTGAAAGGCAACAGCATCACTCCTGCAGAGTGCTGCCTGCGACAGCCTTTACCCTGAAGGTTATTTCTACTTCTCCCTTCCAAAATAAACCTGCACTGAGCACACTTCAGTCTTGCTCAAAGCACAACACTCCCACCTGCAAGCCTCTGGGTAGCCATGATGCTGCTTACCTCTAACAGTTTGTAGAGCTCCTCTATCCTTCCTTTTTCCTGCTCTTTTGCTGGGATTTCAGTTTCTTTGAAGTGTATGTACTGGTTATAAAGTGCCTGGGATGAGAAAAGCTCATCAGAAACCACCCAGCTCTCAATGCTGAGCACATGGGACACTGCAGATTGACCCCGTGCAGGACCTACCTTTAGCTCTACAGGGTTCTGGGGGAAGGATTTATCTGACATGAGTATCGTGTGCTGCTTGATCCAGGAGACGAGGGACTCCACGCGGGTCTGGTACTCCAGCCACCTCGAGTCCACCTCCTGTGGGGTGAGAGGGCCCTTGCAGAGCACTGCCACGGGCAGGTCTCCATGGGGAGAGGTAGAGCACGGAGGGAACTGAGGTGCCATGGTCACACCAAAGGGATGGATCGTTTGCCTGTGCCTCCCTCCTGTGATGCCATCTCAGGTATAGGAAGGAGGAGGAGGAAGATCCTCCTCATAAGCTGCTCCCTGGAAGCCAGTTCTGCTTTCCCATGAGCTCAAACACAAGGCAGAAACCACGGCTCCACAGGCACATCAGCAGCTCACAGGCAGACACACTAACAGGGAAGCTCCTTCCTCTGCCTGAGTCTCTTCCACCCATCAACCATCTGCTGCAGTGGACAGGGAACCTCCAAACCCTCCCCACAACACCCAGTTGCACCCCCCATCGCTGCCCCAGCATCCCAACTCACGATAGCACTGATCCCTTCTCCTCCCTCGGGGACTTTGGGAAAGGCATCATAGATTGAAGACACATAAGTTATCACGGATTTCTCATCCGGAGAGGGCACATCCACGTCTGACATGGGGGAAGGAGAACGGCAGTGAGGAAGGGGAGTGGGCAGAGGTCAGCATCACCCCACATCACCCTGGGCACCCACCTTCAGCATCCAGCAGCCTGGTGACCCCCAGCCTCTCCGCAATCTCAAAGGCCTGCTCCAGGTTCTCCCGGTTACTCTGGATCTGCACCCTCTCCATGTCCACCAGATCTGGCCTGCAGGCACGCAGCACAGCCACAATGTTGGCAAACAGCACAAAGGTGCCCAGGATGGAGCATCCTGGATGGGCCCCACTGCCCAGGCAGCTCCCAAGGGCTTATCTGAACTCCTGTCTTGGGCTGATGTCCCTCTCCAAGCAGTGCTGGGAGCACCTCCCCAGCTCATCCCCTTTGGGAAAGGGATCTTTAGGCTATGAAGGAAAAACTCTTGTGCTCCTCTGGGACCTGCCCCTTTCTGCACCCACTCTGTACCCAGTGTGGTGGACTGGGACTGGACAGAGGTGCACAAACAGCCCCAAAGTGGGTGGCTAAACCTCTCCAGAGGACATGGGCAGAGTGGAGGGGACGCAGCAGGCACTGGTGCTGCCAGCCCTGCACCAGAAGAAAACCACCAGCAAACCACAGCACAAAAGAACCTCAAATGAGCATGAAGGAGGCAGGAAAACCCCGGCCTCTGAGCACCTCGAGCGTGCTCCCCATCATGCACCCATCTCCTGCCTGCAGAATCCTGCCCGCTCCTCCCCACCACAAGCAAGCCCAGAGCAGCACAGGGCAGGGCTATTTCCAGCTCCCAGGAGATGCCTCCTCCCAGGGCTTTGCTGTCCTCCTGCAGGCTCCAAGGCCAAGTGCCCTTCACAAAGCAACCAGGGCAGAAGCTGGCCCTAGCACTGCCTCCCTGCCCATGCAGAAGGTGCCCTGTCCCTAAAGGAACTGTGAGAGGTTTATCTGCAGCTGGGGAGAGCTCCGAGACCCTGGGATGACAGCGTGGATGGGTGTTGCTATTCATGGAGAGCAGGAAGGGCAGCACTGACACATCAAACGCTGCAGCACTCCCAGTCTAAAAGCTTTTCTTGTCTCTCTCCCCAACCTCAAAATGCTTTTCCTTGCAGCCTCATGTACCGTGGCTCTTCCCCAGCATCCACCCCCAGCTACTTGGCTGAAGAGATGATTTCCAGGTAAAAGAGACAAAAGCCTCACCCACATTTCTATGCACACCAGACCATCACTGACTGCAACGGTGGGCAGGGACCCCTACGAGGTCCTCAGCCCTTCCTCCCACCCAGACGATGCTCTCCGCTGCCCCTGCCTACCTGTATCTGTGGATGAGCGCGTTGAACATCTTCCCATCGCTCCAGCAGGATGAGAAGTTGGTGCATTTCACCCCGATGTAACCTGCAGTCACCTTCTGTGTCCACAGAAGCAGCTTCTCCTTGGCTGACATATCCCCCGACTCGCCGCTGATGTAGATGTCGGAGATCTGCAAGGAAGCAGCAGCCTTGGGGTGATGCAGGAGCAGGAAAAGGCCCCACCAGCACCGCTGGTTCCTATGAACTCGCCTGAGACCTGGCAGCTCGTGCACCCACTCCACTGCCAGCTCCTACCCAGCACCCAGGGCAAGGAGCCCCAGCACCCTTGGATACCCAGGGCTCACCAGAAGCGGTCACAGCCCCATCCAGCAGCACCCAAGGAAGGAGCACCCAACACCACCATTCATCAGAGCTGCCAACACGGTGGGGGATGCTCCACCCAGAGCATCATGTTGTCAAGAAACCAACTTAAGAAGCAGGAAACAGCGTTTGGAGGTGCTGTGGGAGAGGAGAGAGGTCTCTCCTTGACCTCCAGCTTGGAGCTGTTTGCAGCAGGGTCATCAGCTCCATCACAGGGGGAAAGGGATGGGGAGGAGGCTGTTGCATCCCCACTCTGCCTCGTGGTACCTGGAGAGGCAGTACGGGGGTGCTGGTGACAGGGGTGCTGTCACCCACCTCCTAACAAGAGACCAATGGCCACAGACACCCATTGCCTGGCTGCAGATCCCAGACTTGCACGTGACAGAACGCACGTGTCTCCACATTCCGGCATATTCCTGCCTGGCACAGCTTCCTCCTCACCCAGTCCCCCCCCCCAGCTCCCCAATTAGTACAATTACTCCCCTTAATGAAGGGGCAGACAAAGGGGAGGGCTGGAGCTGCTTGGATATTCCAGGGTGCTTGTGGAAAAGCAACGCTCAGTGGATTCCTCCTCCCAGCACTGCAGGGAGAAGGGTACCAGGACCCAGCCCTACTGAGCCCCCCGAGCATCTTCATCCCCCCTCAAACCACAGCCGGGTGGGTGCTGGTACTGCTCAGGCCCTGGCTGCTGGAGATCCCTGTGCAGGATCAGGGAGCTGGAGGAAGGCTGGAGGATGTGTAATTGGTATGCTGCAGCTCACCGCCCTCTCCTGAGCCTGAGCCGCTCATCACACACAAAACTGCTCTTTGTCAGCCGCTGCCACACCGCCGGCGCTGCCTTTAACTCCTCCAGCCCCGGGGCTCAGCTTCCTTAGGGATGCCGGGACCCGGCAGCACAGCCAGAATGGATACAGCATAGGTGAGCAGCAGAATGGGACCCTCCACGTGTGCAGGCAGCAGGGGTGGACCCACAAACCTTCACCTGCCCAGCACCCCCTTATTGATTACACAGCGATTCCTAATGAAGATCAGAATGAAACCTCCTGTGAGCCACCCACTGAGCTCCCCAGTGCCCCTCAGGACATCCTCACAGCACCCAGCTGGGATGAATCCTCTGGTTTCAACTCTTCCCACAGCACTGGGGTGCTCCAACCGCTGAGCCCTTCCCCGAGGGCATCCTTGCAGGAAACCCTCCTAGAGACATGCGTGTGTGCATACGGAGGTGCAGGATGCAGCACCAGCTCCACCCTCCTTTCTTCACATGTCCCTGTCAGGACAAAGATTTAGGGAGGCACCAGCAAGAATTGAGAGTGGAAACTCACAGCACCTGGGCTCAGCCTCTTCCAAACCCTTCCAGCATCAGCCTCATGAACCAAACTGGTGGCAGGAGGCTGAAGGCCAGATGGTGACACCAGCCCCAGCCTAGCACAGCTATCAGGGCCACAGCCCCTTTCCTGCTCTTCCAATCACATGCTGCTCCTAGGGCGTATAGAGCTTGGCCAAACCCAAGAGCTCCTTCAGCCCACCCTCCCTCCCCTAAACAGAGACCTCCAAACAGCACCAACGAGCTCCAACACAGCACCATACCCTCCTCTTCCTCTTGAGATCAGGCACAGCTCCTGCTCCTGGTAGCTTAGTGCAGGCAGCAGGATGGGGATACCCCAAACTCACACGCGACCCAGCAGCCCTGGTGTCACTGGTGACACCAACACAGCACCGAGAGCCTCCATGACCCGTGGCAGCACGCAAGGGCTCCGGTGAGTGCAGCTCTCTGCCTGCCCATACTGGGAACACAGGATGGGGATGGGTTGATCCCTGGGAAACGCTTCCCAATGGAGATGCTCAGAAGGAAAAAGCTTTCTGCACCACCCATGCTCAGCACCCATGCTCACAACCGTCCCCAGAGCCACCAGGATCTGGGCTCCACTGACTCAGCTCCCCCCACCCTAGTCCAAGAGGCGGGTGATGGCACACGCAGACACTGACCATTCCTCTGGCTGGCCCATGGGCCCCTCCAAGCCTGTGGCCCCCTTCAGAGGGAGCCGCCGTGGTCCCACCAGCTCCAGTGCATGTGGCCGGGTCACTGCCGTACCCCGAGGAGCTCCGGGCTGCACCCCCACTGCGCCCGCTGAAGGAGGACGGGCTGCGGGATGCCAGCGCTCCGTGCCCATCTCCCTCCCCAGCCCGAGACGATGCCAGCCCTGAGGTCCTCCCCATGCTGGGGTTTTCTGGCTGATCCACCATGGGGGACGGCGTCGACAGCTCCGAAACGGTGCCCGGCTCTGCTGCGGAAGAGCAGGTCCACACAGTGCTGGAGCCAGGGTCCTTGCTGCCTCCTTCCCCCCAGGCATCCAGGGGGCTGCTGGTTCCCAGCTCCTTGCTGTTCGCTGGTTCCTCAGCACCGATCGGGGTCAGGAGCCCCCCGGGGTGGCCATTGGGGCGCAGGGGCAGCAGCACAGCCCGGCGGCTGCCGGTGCCGCTCCTCTGCAGCTCAACCAGGCGGCTCACCGCCCTCTCGCAGCCCTCCTCGGCAGGGTTGTCCAGCAAGCGGGCGATGACGGTGGTGCCTTCATCCCCGGCAGTGTCTGCGCCCGGCTGCCGCGGCTCCGGCACCAACAGAACCTTCTGCACCTCGCCTTGGAACCGCTCCTTCACCTGCACCAGGAGCCCGGGGTGCAGCGCTGCTGCCTTGGGGTCCCCGCAGCCAGCGAGCTCCTCTCCTCCCTCCCAAGGGGCTGCCTTCGACTTCAGCGCATCCTCATCCTCACGCACCTCCAGGGCTGGGGCTTCCTGCTGCGGGGCTGCCTCCGGCATCGCTCTCCTCTTCCCCCTCCGCCTCCGTTTGAAGCGGACCCTTTTTTTAGGAGACAGGGGTGCCTTTCCCACTGCTTTTTCCTTCGGCTCCTTAACGCAGCCCAGAGAATTCCCCATCTCCTCCCCGGTGCCGGCAGTACCGCAGCGGAGCGAGTCGCCGGCTCCCGAATCAATCCCGAATGGGGCTTCATGGGCTCCAACGCGTGCCGTGCTCCGTGCCGCGGGGTGCCCGTGCCCGGCGCTCCCTCCCGCCAGCCCCGCCGCCGCTCCAGACAGCCATCTTACAGCCTGCGCTGCCAGCACACACATTCAAAGCATCTCACTGCAGTTCAGAAATCACTTGACCTAAAAGCAGAGGGAGCGGGGATTGGCTGCAGCTCCTGTTCTCCAAACATGAGGTAATGGGAGCACGGCCCTCGCCAACACAAACAGGGAGCAGGAGACGGGAGGCGGGTGGGAACGGGGAGGATAAACCCCACAAAACGCGGGGAACGTTGGAAAAGGTAGGATAAAGGAAGGGGTGGGAAAGAAACGGGGTGGGGGGAAGCAGGGAGGAGTCAGAGCGGCTCCGCACGCACACCAGCGGGAATGCGCCGGCTCCACAGGGATGCTCCTGGACCCATTTGGGAGGTTTGCTCCTTAAATCTTAATGCTGAGAGCCCCGAGAGCTCTCATGTGGGCTCATGTGCCCACCCTCCTGCCAGGCTCACCCAGCTCAGCGCATGGAGCACAAGGTACCTCGGGGACCTGGCATCAGGGAGGCACAGCCTGGGGACCCAACCAGTGCTAACGACCCCATCCCAGTCCAACCCGTTCCAAGGGCAGGTTTTGATCATTCCAGCTCTCACCAGCTCAGAGGGACCAGAGCAGGGAATATGCACCACAAGCAGGGATGAGACAGAAAATGGGGAAAGGGGAGGCATAAAGATGGGGATACGGAACTCAGCCCCAGCAAGCAGGGCTGGGAGGGGAGAAAAACACTATGAGGAGCAACGCAGGAGATGACCATGGCAGCCAGGGACCCCAAGGGCTCCCAGGGCATGTGGGGCAGGCCCCACACCTTCACTGCTCCAGCTCCCTGCTCCACACTGACTCCAGCCCTTCCCAAACCTCTCCCAGCCGCCTGCCCCCAGGCAGTGGTACTGGTACACGGGAGATTAAGAGGTTCACAATGGAGCCACAACCCCAGAAACAATCCCATTAGCCCAGTGGGGAGAGCAGGCTCATAGCACCAGCCCAGCTCCCCTTGTCACCCACCCTGTCCCCCACGGCATGGTGGCACCATCCCCTCCCAGCAATGGGGCATGGAGGGCACCCAGGACCTCCTGATCTCCCCTTGCTGGTCTCCTGCAGCAGAGGATGCACCAGGACTGAACCAACCCAAAGATGAGGACCACAGGTATGGGATGCCACCAGCCAGGGTCCCACCAGAGACAACAGCGACTGCTCAGCATCCAGATCCTGCTAGATCCCATGGGCAAACCACCAGCCAAGTGCCTCCCCAGCAGCCTCACACCCAACTTATCCCCATGCTCCCCCCAAAAGCACTGCTCACTCATCCTCCAACAAATAAAACCTTCCCTACGAGGTCCCAAAGCCAGCGCCAGCCTCATCTGGAAGATGCCAGCAGGGATGCAGCAGGGAGCTGGGACACAGCATTAATGCCACATAGCTCACACGCTGCTGACAGCAGCAGTGCTCAGTGAGCCAACATGCCAGCACACTGGTGGCATTTAGGGCTGTGCCCTGAGGGCTTCAAAGCTACAACTGGGTAATTGGAGGTATTAAAGACCTGAGACCCTGTTTTGCAAGAGCATCTACAGCACACAATTGCTGGAGACGGTCCCGGCTGCATTCCCCAGCAGGGCCACAGAGCTTCTCCTATCCCTGTCCTGAAGCACTGTCATGCAGCTGACATTTTCCATTCCAACAACCACACAAAGGGCTGGGAGCACCTCGGGATAACAGCCCCATGGGGTGGGAGCTCAGCCCATTGGATCCCCCATGGATCTGCTCTTCTCCTCCAGAGACATCAGCTGAGCAAACAGCTACCGCCAACGACCGCAGTGCCAACGGGAGGCCACCACACACAGCCCATCATTAATGATCCCATTATGGAAACAATGGGAAAAGGGTGTTGCTGCTCTCCAGCACCAGCCTCCATGATCCTGCAACGGGTGCGGATCCTCCACACCGATCCATGCAGCAGCATTGCCACAGAACACACGGACAGACGGATGCCAGCGCCATCCCACCCCATCCACCCCGCATCCTTCACAAGAAGCTCTGATGACCTACCTGGAAGTGGAGGATGATGGTCCAGATGAGCCCCAGCGTGAGCTTGGGGTTGCCATCCGTGATGTCATCATTGCGAATGTTCACCAGTTTCACCTGAAAGAGAAGCACTGGGGTCAAAGCTCACCCACAGGAAGGAGGGGGACACGTCCCTGACCACGCTGTCCCCATGGCCACACCAAGCACTTCACTGGGGACACACAAGACCCCAGTCTGAAGCAGCAGCGAGGCCACGCTATGCCCTGTCTCAGGAGGGGTTTTTCACATCTCCAGCCCTCTCCATCTGGAATTGCTTTCCCAGCACTTAATGGCTTTATTTTAGCTCACCCAGGGAAGCGTCTGGTCCCCAAAGCCCTGAGCACTGGTGCATAATTTAACAGGCACAGAGCACGGGTAGAAGAGGATGGCTGAGCTTTAACAGCTCCTTCCCAGGTTCAAAACCAGGCTGCTTGGGTTGGTTTTCAACTTTAAGGAAGCAGAAACACCAGCACTGAGGGTCCTCCCTCAGCACCCACCAAGAGCCCCATCCAGGCAGATTCCAGCCCCACAGTCCCAGAGCTGGCTGGCCACTGCTCCTGCTCTCCCTGCAGCTTCCACATGCTTTGGGTTCTTTTTCCCTGGTGGGCTCCCTATGGAGGGTCCTCACTCCTCAATAAGGCTCCAGGCTCAGTCTCCAGCATATGGGAAAAGACATCCTGCTTCAAAGGAAAAGCTGTTTCATCCAAGTAGAGAAACAAGCTCCCAAGAGCCCCCAGCAAAATGTCTCTATCAAGGGGCTGGGAGGAGCAGGGGGCTGGAAGCAGCTCACCCTCCCTGGAGTAGGGGCACAGTCACGGTTATTCAGTGCCCCCAGGCCAGCAGAGAACCCTGCTTCAGCAGGAACTGCTCGGATTTATCATCACCTCGGCATATCTGGGGAGCATCTCGGTGGGGAGACCTGACCCAACAGGCAGAACGGGACACATGGCCCCGGGGGTTCCACCTACAGAGCCAACAAGTCTGGGGATGCATCCCAGTGCTCCAGGCGGATCCCGCCCAGGGGTGCGGAGGATGCCTGGGCTCTGCACAGGCACTGCAGGGCCAGCGCCTCCCAAAAGCCTGCCCTCTGAAAGCCAAAGGGTGATGCTGTCTGTCCATGGCATGTGCCACAGCCCCGTGCTGGGATCTAAGGCTTTCTGGGGGACACAAGTGCCTGTCTGTGACATTTGCAATCCCCTTCCCACAAGTGCAGTCTGGTTCCTCATTTTGATACTGGTTTTTTGTGCTGCATGGGTGGTTCTGAGAGCGAACACCTACAGGGGAATGTCCCCTGAGAGCCACCATCACAACCAGCACTGGCACTACGGGGATGGGCACACCATGGTGCTGCTTCTCAACACCATTCCCAAGTCCCAGCCAGGGGAAAGAACCACGAACCACCCAGCTCTGCTTCTGGATGACAGGGGAATGTCCCCTGAGAGCCACCATCACAACCAGCACTGGCACTACGGGGATGGGCACACCATGGTGCTGCTTCTCAACACCATTCCCAAGTCCCAGCCAGGGGAAAGAACCACGAACCACCCAGCTCTGCTTCTGGATGAGCCCAGCTCGGCCCTTACCTGTCGCTGCTTCAGGAAATCCAGGGCAATCTGCACGTTCTGCAGGCGATGGAAACGCATCCGCCCCTTCTCACGCGGCTGCAAGAGAGGCAGCAGGTTCAGGAGGGGTCATGGAGCCGGGCTGGCAGCTCCCCACGTGCACAACCACCCCCCCGTGCCCAGCGTGCTGCTGTGACCCCGTGCACTGCACACATCCTGCTCTATCCTCTTGCTCTGGAGGCAAATAAAGGCATTGCTACTCATGATCCTGCTGCAAGAGAGCAAAAAGGCCACGGTGGGGCATGGAGGTGGGAAGACCCCAAGATCTTGACCTCCTCCAAGACTCTAAGGGCTGGCATCCAGGCTCTGAGCTGTGTGCTCAGCCAGCTGCAGGCAGGACCGGTGCAGCCTCCAAGATCCCAAGGCAGGATCCCACCTATCCCAAAGTCAGACAAACTGGGAAGAGGGCTCAGCAAAGAGAGATGTGCACGAGTCTGACCCATCCAGGTGGAAGCAGAGGTGGGTCTGCCCCACAGCAGGACATGGGGACACAGGCAGGTCCCCGCTGATGGCAAAGAAGCCACGACCTCAGCCTCAGCCCCTGCAGACCCAGCTTGGCTTTTCCCACATATGGGCTCCAGGCCCCATTTCCAAACCCTTGGGGAATGCCCTGGGCTGTGCTCATTGCTGCTGATGCTGGCAGGGGACTCTCCAAGGTACCAGGAAGCTGAGCTGTGGCCAGGGGATGGGTATGGGATACAGGATGCTGGATCTGCTTTGATACAGCAGGAAAAGGATTGATGCTCAAATCCTGATCCCAGCCTCAATGAGGTATCACAAGGATGCTCTGAACTGCTGGGACACCCCAATTCCTCTGAGCCCCCTTCCTTCCCCAGCCTGAAGGGGAAGAGCTGCCCCTGCAAGGGGAACATCTCCAGGGCTGCAGGGACTGGAACCTACTGGGAAGATGCTACAGCCCCAGCTCCTCCTGCGATGCTCCAGGTGGAGGTGCCACCATGCACAAAGGAGGCATCACCCCTAGCAAAGGGGGCTAGGAAACACAGCTTCTACCCTGAGTAAGGCTTTGGGGTCTGGGACCCTCAGTTGTGCTCGCTCCTACCTCCACTCACATGCATGGGGTTGCTGGTTGTGCCCTGGACCCTACAGTGGCACCAGCCCCCTCCCACCCTGAGAAGGTGCCTGTGCCCTGTCCATGCAGTGCGAGGTGAGCAGCCATCACTGCAGCCCCGTGGGGGGGGACACATGCTGTCACCCCATGTGGGTGCTGTGCCCTGTGTGCAGGCTGACACTGCAGGGCGCACACGGATAATCCAGTTCAGGTGAGCAGAGCCCAGGAAAGAGGAGCCAGGGCTCCTGCAGCTTCCCTTCTGCTTCCCTTCGCTCAGGGGGCCCATCCTGGGTGGCTTTCATCCAAACCCAAGGAGAAGGGAAGGTGGGAGCCACTGGGCTGCACTGGACCATCCGCCGGCCCTCCAGTGCCTGCCAGCGATACAGGCTCAACCTACTTCTTCATCATCATCATCTTCCTCCTCCCGCTCCTCGCTGCTTGCACGGCACCAGGCCGGCGCTCTCACCAGGCGAAGGCTCCGCTGAGCTGGCAGCTCTATTTGCTATGGGGACGGGAGGGACGGCGGCGACAGGAGGGGGACACGACAGGGAGACACAATGGAAACCAAAATGCAACACCCAGGTGAAAGGGAGAACAAAAGAGTGGGGATGAAGGCGGCTGGATCTGTGGCACTCCCTGGGTGCCGGCATCCCTTGGATTTGAAAGCCGGAGTGAAGAGAAGGAAGCTGTCTGGATCACAAGTAGCTTGATCCAAATTTTCAGCCCCCACAAAAACCTGATTTGGCATCTTCTGGAGGGTAACGGAGGGAGCTGGGAGATCTTTACCCAGATCCTATTTTAGGGGAAAGCTAAAATAATTCCTGCTGTGCTACCCTGTGGCAGGCACTGGGATCTTCCCAGAGCTGAGTGAATGTGTGAGTCTGAGGAGGAGGAGGAGGAAAGAGGGGGACTCTACGATGCTCATGACGCAGAACAATGTTTGCACGCCACAAATGCAGCTCGGGCAGGAGCTGAGCATGGGGCAGGAGCATCAAACCTGAGCTAAAGCACTGGGCAAACTCTCACAGAAAGGGATTGAGTCAAAGCCATCAGTATCTGTTATTTTAAATGCAGATAAAAGTTTGAAGCCTCCACAAAAAGAGGGCTCTTCCCAGGGCACCGCACACCAGGGGTTCTCAGATCAGCCTGGGGAACATGGGTCTGAGTGGAAACAACTAAAATGATAACTAATACAATACAAGGAATAAGGACAGACATCTGAAAACAAAACTATGGCGTAAGAAATGATAGAAGGGAGTGAGGGAAGGATGGAGGGGACCTATGGGGAGTAGCAGCAGCATCACTGCCCAGCCCTGGGCACTTACCAGCTTGACCCCGGACAGCACCTCCAGGAGGGAGATGAGGTTGTGGCCATCTCGTAGGTCTTCATAGAGGTCATTGATGTGCTTGCGCACCTGCAGGAGGAACAGCCATCACTTTATATGGTGATTCCAGAATGATGGCTAAGGACAGTGGTCTCCTGGCTCCCAAATAACCTGCTGCCACTTATACACATGGAACCAGCCTGTTAAACCACCCATATTCCAGGCAATAGAATCAGAGAATCAGAAAACAGTTTGGGTAGGAAAGGACCTTAAGATCATCCAGTTCCAACCCCCTGCCATGGGCAGGGACATCTCACACTAAACCAGGTAACCCAAGGCTCTGTCCAGCCTGGCCTTGAACACTGCCAGGGATGGGGCATTCATAACACTGCACACAGAGCTCTGCAGGAAGGGTGCTCGGTCCTGAAGCAGTTGGGTAAGTGTTCAGGCTGCCCTGGAGCAGTTCCCAAAACACAGCACCCAGCTCCATCTGAGAGCAGAGGAGGCTTCTGCAGGCTGTGAGAGCAGCCTCTGGAACTGCTCTTCCCAGACACCCAGACCCTGTCCTGGGGTTTTACCCACTTGGGAATCCCAGCCTGGGTTGGGTTGAAGGGACCTTAAAGCTCCTCCAGCCCCAACCCCTGCCACGGGCAGGGACCCCTTCCACTGGAGCAGCTTGCTCCAAGTCCCTGTGTCCAACCTGGCCTTGAGCACTGCCAGGGATGGGGCAGCCACAGCTTCTCTGGGCACCCTGTGCCAGCCCTCAGCACCCTCACAGGGAAGAGCTGCTGCCTAAGAGCTCATTTCAGTCTCCCCTCGGGCAGGTTCAAGCCATTCCCCTTGCCCTGTCCCTACAGGCCCTTGTCCCAAGCCCCTCTCCAGGTTTCCTGCAGCCCCTTCAGGCACTGGAGCTGCTCTAAGGTCTCCCCTTCAGGAGCCTTCTCTTCTCCAGGCTGCCCCAGCCCAGCTCTCTCAGCCTGGCTCCAGAGCAGGGATGCTCCAGCCCTCACAGCATCTCCATGGCCTCCTCTGGATGTGCTCGAACAGGTCCACATCCTTACACTGGAGCCCCAGAGCTGGGTGCATCCCTTGATGTTTCCCCACAACAAGCAAGTAGCCGAAAGCTTGACGCTGAGCTCAGCAGAGCTGGCAGGAAAACACACAGTGACACCTAATGCCCAGACAACCCCTTCTTGCTCCTGCTTTTTCTGTTTGGAAAATGGAGAATTAATTACAAGACACCTGGCATTAGCCAAGAAAAGCATTAGGCACCTCACAGTGCAACGTTAATCCTGCTTAGCTACCTGCAACCGCAAGCATCTCCCTTTGCAGCCCATTTCCACACAGGAGCATCCTTCAAAAGACAATGCAGCCCCTTTGCCCGGCAATGGGGCCCTGGGATCTCCTCTTTCACCCTGATGATGCACAAGCCTCGTGTTAAAGCAAGGATCAGGTACTCAGGAGGCACATGCACAAGGGCTGTGTGGTGATGTTACAGTGCCCTCCAAAGGCACCAGCACATTCCCACTGCAACCACTGAGCACAGACATGGGTGTGAACACTCAAATGCATGCACAAAGTCCTAGACAAAACCCAAATTCCTTAAGGAAAAGGCATTCAGCAGCCAGTGCTGAGCCAGAGCAGACACACAGATGGTCACTGAACCAGCCTTATAATAAACTCCATGTCCCTTACCTTCATCAAGTGTTTATTGACCCATTTAGTGAAGGTTTTCTTCTGGACTCTGTCCCGTTCATCTGTCAAAAGAAGACAAAAGGGGGCTCTTGGTCAGTGTTTCTCATGCAGAAACTCACAGGACACTGAAATGAGGGGAAGAGAAAGAGGAATCACTGCTGGTGCCAGGGTGGATCCTGTGCCCATGCAGGGGATACAGAGGCTGCTTGTTCATGGGTTAGTGCAGAACAGGCAGCTCTGGGAACACCAGGAGCATCCACACAGCTACAACCAGACAGAGAGGTGGGGTTTGGGGACAGAACAGTGTTATCTGAACAAAAGCAGCGTGGATGATTGGGACAGGTACAGCTGCAGCTGGCAGCGGCATCCGAACCCCCTGAATGGGTCCTCCCTGTGCCTCTGCATCCCTCCTGGACCAGCACAGGGAGGGAATTGGGTGTCCCCCTCCCCTGCCTGCTCCCGGAAGGCTTTAGTGCATGAGATAAACCCCAGATGCCCCATACCCAGCCCCAGCCGGTGCCATTAGCAGCTTATTGTGTCGCTGTATTTTGGTTCATTGGATTGTCAGGATTTAATGTGTATTTCTGTCCCATGGCTCAGCCCAGCGCATGCTGGGAGCAGGGGTGACAACGGGGGTCCCATGCCTGGGGGTCCCAGCCCCACAGAGCAGCCGGGGGGGGGGGGGTTGCCAGCCCCATGAGGGGACAGGATGGGACACTGATGGCAATGCCAAGTGGCAGTGTGGGGTACAGGAGCTTTGCTTTGCCTGGTTTTGGTGCAAAAAAACATAGTATAATGGACATGTTATCAAAGGAGAGGACAGGAGGTGGGGTGCATGAGGAGGGCTCAGGGTAACCCCAGCAGCCAGCCCTGTGCCAAACAGGATCACCTGGTTTTAACAGCATCACCTCGGAGGAGAAGGCGCCTCAGTACTGACCCCCAAACACGACCCAAGCTCCCAAGTCCCACCCTGTGCAGGCAGGAGGCCCCTGGGGTACAGCAGGGAAGGACAAGCCCCACAAGCCCAAGATACCCCATTGCCATCAGTCTGCCCGGCAGCAGCTGCCTTTGCTTTCATTTGAAGCCAAAAACTCAAGGAAAGTGAGAAAACCAACACCCCATGGCTCGAGCTCCCCAGACACACGGTGTGTCCTGCCTGGATGGCCCCATATCCCCCTTCCTGGGATAGGGAGTCACTGGTGGGGGGGTCCCTTCTCTATCTGAGCCCATGTCCCCCTTCCCAGGATAGGGAGTCACTGGCTGGGGGGTCCCTTCTCTATCTGAGCCCATGTCCCCCTTCTTGGAACAGCGAGTCACTGGTGGGGGGGTCCCTTCTCTATCTGAGCAGCCACAACCCCAGGGAAAACCTCCCCACATCCCAATGCACGCAGCACCTACCACCACATCTCCTCCCCATCCACCCCACAGCTTCCCCATCCCAAAGCCCTCCATCAGAACACGCAGCACGCCACCGGCACATCACATCCCACATCCCGCTCCATCCCCCAGCCACAGCACGGAACCCAAGTGCCCAAATCCATCCAGTGGCTGAGCTCTGGTTCCCCACCACCACGCGGCCAAGCCACGGTGCTGCCGCCTGGCACCGCCTGCCATAGGAAGCTGCGTCACCCCCATGTGTTTTTAAGGTCCCTTCCTTCACCCAACCCCTCCAGGTCCCTTCCCAACCCCGGTGTTAATTCGGGGTGGGTAAAGCTGGAGCCGTGCCCTGGTGCAATGGTGGGAGCTTCCTGCGGGTTGGGAAGGAGACGGCAGTGGGTACTGACCGATGCAGCACATCCGGCACACGAGGCAGGCGCTCAGCCGCCGCTGCTCCCTGGGGTGATGCCTCCTCTCCATCACCCAAGCCCGGGATGGGGAGTGCAGGGTCCTGGCAAAGCAGCCTCCAGGCTCCTGGGGAAGGGTCTTTGGTGGCCCCACCAGCTCACTGACCTTGGGTGTCTTCTCAGCCGCAGCTCCTCCCACCGCGCCACTTCCTACCCCCGGCGCGGGCACCAGCCCTTCCTCCTGCAGGGCATCGCCCCAAACCCCATCATCACCTCAGCCGCTGTTCCTTGTGCTTCACCCGGTGCTCCCAGCCTGCCCAGTGCCTCACCACCGCGATCCCAACGGCCGGCAAAGGCGCTCGCAAAGCTCCCAGCGAGGAAGGGGCAGAGCTGCTGCCCCACCAGCAGGCTCCTGGCTTGTTTTCCCTCGCCTTGTTTTCCAGTTAATTGCAGCAGGGACGGGCAGGACAATGCCAGGCTGTTCTCTCCGCTCTCGCCTGCTGATCCTTCCCAAACCATTCCCCGGGTCCAAAGCAGAGCCGGGACCCGGCCGCAGCCCCGCTCGGCACGCGGGGAGATAACGGGGGCCTCCTTATCACCACCTCTCTTCCTCTTCTTCTAAATATAATCCCCCTGCAGACCTTCTGCCGGCAGGAACCCGGCCAGGAGGGTGACAGGAGCCGGGCTGCTGCTGGGGAAAGGCAGGAGCACCACATGGATAACGGGGATGGAGGCACATCACCCCAGTCCCACGTGGGAAGGCTGCAGCAAGTCTCTGGTGCTGGATCCGGGGGTGCCCTGAGGCCAGCAGCTCCTCGGTGTGCTCCCTCTTTCCCAGCAGAAATAGGGGGGTTTCCCCCCTTTTGTGCCCTGTTGCACCACTTTGGGTGCTTCCTGGGCTCTCACCAGATTACACCTCCCCACCCTGCGCTCCTGCTATCATCTGAGCTAATAATAATGCCCAGTTACTGCTTACTAACGATATTAAGGCATTGCAGGCTTATCTCTCCCTGGCTAATCTTTGCCAGAGTCACCCTGATGAGCAACCCATTGCAACCCCTCCATGCTTGTCCTGTCCCCTAGCAGAGCCTCACCCCAGCCACAGGCAGCGAGCAGAGGTGGAACCTGCACCTCTCTGCACACAAGCCAGCAGTGCCACACAACCATCCCATGGCTTCCAGCACAGCCGATGCTATTGGAGCTGTAAGGATGCTCCAGATGGGAAGCACTTTCATGTTGCTTTCTCAAGACAGGTCAGACCCACAGAGACAAAAACCAGGATGAGCCAAGCAACACCCAAGCCTGGGACATCCCCATCCCTGCCCAGGCAGAGCCCAGCCTGGGACAGCCACGGAGTGCTCCGAGATCTGCTCCATGGTGCCTGCATCTCTGCAGGACCACGCATGCAGCTTCATTCCCTCCTCCCCCATTTGTATATCAGGGCACAGCCCACGGCATCCCCAGGAATGGGGATCCCAAAGGCACCGGGGCACTGTCTGCTCTCCATCCCTGCAGAGGGGCCTGAAGCAGCAAGGACCAAGGAGCAGAGGCAGGAGGTGGGGTTTGAGGTTTTCCCACTGTCAGTCCCTCAAGTGAACCCAACTAGCAAGGAGGGGAGGGGAAAACCATCCTGCCCCATTGCTGGTCTCCAGCACCCCAAAACCAGGGGCATGAGATGGACCTGGGAAGAAAGACCCATAGACCCCAGGCACTTCCATCATCACTGGGATGGCTCCCATCAGCGCTGGGTGCCAGGGACCCTCCCACACCACCACAGCACCCTGCACAGACAGTTCCCTGCCCCGTTTGCCTGCAGCAGGCTCTGTCCTGGCAGCCTGCCTGTTCCCAGCAGCTCCCAACACGCCCGGCCGGGAGCTGCCGCTCCCCAAGGATCTCTCCTCCATCATCCTTGGCCTCACTCACTGCCAGATTCCACCACTGGTCACCTCCTCCTGCCTCAGGCTGCTGCTGCAAGAGCCTGGGCCCAGTCCTAATCCTAACCCTGGCCAAGCACCTCCCATCCCACCAGAGCCCAGGGCTGGAACCAGGTTCTCCAGGGCTCCTTTGGGATAGACCTTCACCATTCCGGGGAGTAAGCCGGGGGCTTTCAGAGTCCCTCACCAGCTCCTTCATCCTGCTGGAACAGAGCCTGGAAGCATCTCCCAAGCTTTCAACTCCTGTTCATTAATTCCTGATAGAGTTGAAGGAACACAGGAGGTGTCAGACTGCCCGAGGGGAGACTGAGATGAGCTCTTAGGCACAAGTGAGGGTGCTGAGGCGCTGGCACAGGGTGCCCAGAGAAGCTGTGGCTGCCCCATCCCTGGCAGTGCTCAAGGCCAGGTTGGACACAGGGGCTTGGAGCAAGCTGCTCCAGTGGAAGGGGTCCCTGCCCGTGGCAGGGGTTGGAGCTGGAGGAGCTTTAAGGTCCCTTCCAACCCAAACCACTCTGTGATGCCATCACATCTCCAAGCCCATGCTCAGTGCGAAACCCATCGCTTTCACTTTGAACTCCTTCCAGGCAAAGAATGGGAATGTGCCTTCTTTTTCTTAACATGGTGCTTTTAAGATGGGGGATATGCAAAGAACCTGCCTGGCTGAGAAGCAGGAGGTATTTCAAATATGCTGGCTGCCAACTTGCTGCTGACATAATCCCCCATGACAACAGAGCCAGGAGCGGGCAGGATTTACAGAGCCTTTCAAAACAGGGAGAGGAAACGGTGCCTGATTCAGCCTGGAAGAATGCACAGGAGATACCTGCAGTGGAAAACTTTCCAACAGCCAGGTATGCAATGAGGAAGGCACCTGAGAAGTGATGCAAAGGAGCCCCAGGCAGACGCTGGGCAGAGGTGGGAGAGCATCACAGGGCAACAGAACCTGCTGTGAGATGACCCTCAGCTTCCAGGATGCTGCGCCTGCGGGGTGGCTGTTACCTGAGCTTTTCCAGGAAGGAGTGATGAAGGAAAACCAACGTGGAATATACCAGCTGCTTGCAACACTTGCACTGGGAGCTCTTCCAAAGGGACATGGAGATTGAGTGGACAGGGGATGGGGGACCAAGAGGAGGAGCTGCAGCCAGGCTGGGTTTACTGGGTGAGCGGGTGCATTTCTGCACAGCAGCACAGTTGTGCAACTTGGTCTCCCAAGCAGTTTTGAAGGAGAAAGGAAGAATATCCCAAAAGCAATATTTGGGGAAAAGTCCCTGCGCGCTGCTCAGGCTCTGCAGCCTCGCTCCTTTGCATGGGAAAAGTGGGGGAAAAAGGGGGAATTGGTCACGGATG